AATAGAAATAGTATCAACAATCTTTTCAGACCATAATGAACTGAGAATAGAAGTGAATCACACACAGACACGAAGAATCAAATCAAACACCTGGATATTAAACAACTCAATGCTGAACAACGATTGGATCAGGAAGGAATTCAAGGACGAAATCAAAAGATACTTGGAAACAAATGAGAATGAAGACACTAGCTACCAAAACCTATGGGATGCAGCAAAAGCCGTATTAAGGGGAAAATTTATAGCTCAGCAAGCATATCTCAGGACGGAAGAAAGGATGCACATAAACAACTTGACTTCACAGCTCAAGATCTTAGAAAAGGATCAACAGAAGGAGACCAAATCAGGCAGTAGGAAAGAGATCATAAAACTTAGAGCAGAAATCAATGACACGGAAACCAAAGAAACAACCCGAAAGATCAATGAAACCAAGAGCTGGTTCTTCAAGAAAATAAATAAGATAGAAAAACCACTAGCAACACTTACAAAGAAACAGAGAGAGAACCCTAATAAATCGAATCAGAAATAAGAATGGGGATATCACAACAGAAACCAAAGAAATTCAAAGGATCATCAGAGACTACTTTGAAAGTCTGTATGCCACGAAACAAGAGAACCTAGAAGAAATGGATAAATTTCTGAATTCCTATAATCTCCCAAAGCTGACTCAAGAAGACATAGAGTAGATTAGATCTATCAACATCAGGAAATTGAAACTGTAATCAAAAGTCTTCCCAAAAACAAAAGCCCAGGTCCAAATGGATTCAATAGCGAATTTTTCCAAACATTTAAAGAGGACCTATTGCCAGTTCTTCTCAAGATTTTCCAGGAAATTAAAAAAACAGAAACTCTCCCAAACAGGTTCTATGAAGCCCATATCTCCGTAATACCAAAAGGAAACAAAGACACCACAAGAAAAGAAAACTACAGTCCAATATACCTGATGAATATGGATGTGAATATTCTCAACAAAATACTAGGAAATAGAATTCAACACATCAAAAAGATCATACACCATGACCAAGTGGGATTCGTCTCGGGAATGCAAGAATGGTTTTACATTCGGAAATCAATCAACATAATCCATCATATCAACAAAAGAAAAGATAAAAATCACATGATCATATCAATAGATGCACAGAAAACATTTGACAAGATCCAGCACCAGTTTATGATGAAAACCCTCGCCAAAATGGGGATAGAGGGGACTTTCCTCAATATATTTAAAGCTATCTACGACAAGCCTACAGCAAGCATCATCCTCAATGGATAAAACCTGAGAGCCTTCCCCCTAAGATCAGGAATGAGACAAGGATGCCCACTCTCTCCACTACTGTTCAATATAGTACTGGAAGTACTTACAATAGCGATTAGACAAGAAAAAGATATTAAGGGCATCCATGTAGGAAAGGAAAAAATCAAACTCTCACTATTTGTAGATGATAAAATACTATACATAGAGAACCCTAAAACCTCTACCAAGAAACTCCTAGAAACAATAGACTTGTATAGCAAAGTTGTAGGCTATAAAATCAATACACAAAAGTCTATGGCTTTCCTATACACAAATAGTGATAGAGAAGAAAATGACATGAGGAAAACAATCCCGTTCACAATTGTGCCCCAGAAAATCAAGTACCTAGAAATCAACTTAACTAAGGAAGTAAAGGACCTGTACAAATAAAACTACAAAACGCTACTTCAGGAAATAAAAGAGGACACGAGGAAATGAAAAAATATCCCCTGTTCATGGATAGGGAGAATTAACATTGTCAAAATGGCAATACTTCCCAAAGCACTGTACAAATTCAATGCAATCCCTATTACGATACCCATGACATTCTTCAAAAACAATGGAGCAAACACTCCTGAAATTTATATGGAACAATAAGCCCCCACGAATAGCTAAAGCAATCCGTGGGAAAAAGAAAACGAAAGAAATCAACCTCCCTAACTTCAAACTCTACTACAAAGCTGTAATAATTAAAACAGCATGCTATTGGAACAAAAGCAGAGCTGTAGACCAATGGAACAGGGTTGAATATACTGACATCTCCCCTCAAGCATATGATCATCTAATCTTCGATAAGGGGGCAAGAAAAGTGAAGTGGAGGAAGGAAAGCCTCTTTAACAAATTGTGCTGGCAAAACTTGTTGGCTCATGCAAAAAAGTGGGCTCATATCTCTGCCTAATGCCAAGTACAAAAGTAAGATCAAAATGGATTAAAGACCTCAACATCAGACCGGAATCCATAAGGTTCATTGAAGACGAAGTTGGCAAAGCCCTCCATGATATTGAAGCTAATGGTATCTTCAAAGATGTCACGCCACTGGCCAAGCAAGTGAAAACAGAGATAGACAAATGGGACTTTCTTAAACTAAGAAGCTTCTGCACCTCAAAAGAAACAGTAACCAAAATACAAAGACAGACTACAGAATGGGAAAGGATATTCACTGAATACACATCCGGCAAGGGGTTGATATCAAGGATATACAAGGCACTTGTTGAACTCCGCAAGAAGAAAACATCCAACCCCATCAAAAATGGGATGACGAAATGAACAGAAACTTTCTCAAAGAAGAAATCCGAATGGCTAAAAGGCACATGAGAAAATGCTCTACATCATTAATCATCAGGGAGATGCAGATCAAAACCACAATGAGATACCATCTCACACCTCAGAGACTGGCCCACATCCAAAAGAACAAAAGCAACCAATGCTGGCGCGGATGTGGCGAGAAAGGGACACTCCTTCACTGCTGGTGGGAATGCTGACTGGTTCAGCCCTTCTGGAAAACAGTATGGACGATTCTCAAAAAATCAGAAATCAAACTCCCATTTGACCCAGCAATACCACTCCTGGGAATATATCCCAGAGAGGCAAAAATGTATAGTCGAATTGACATCTGCACTTGTTTGTTCATTGCAGCACTCTTTACAATAGCCAGAATCTGGAAAAAACCTGAGTGCCCAAGAACAGATGACTGGTTAAAGAAACATTGGTACATCTACACAATGGAGTACTATGTAGCTGTTAGAAAAGATGAAGTCAAGAAATTTACATGCAAGTGGTACTACATGGAAAGTATCATGTTAAGCGAAATGAGTCAGAAAGAGCGGGATAGACACAGAAAGATTGCATTCATCTGGGGAACATAAAGCAACAAAAAGGGAGACTAACACCCACGAATGGCCGAGATTAGTACCAGGAGTTTTGCTTCATGGCTTGGAGGCCAGTCACACACTCTAGGAGAAAAAGGAGCTCAGATAGAGAAAGGAGCACCAAATAAAGGGTGTTGGGAGGATCCTCCCAGGATGGGAGAAGCATGCTGAAAGTAGACTACAGACCAAACATGATTGCCACTCAATGCCTCTTTTGCAAACCACAACACCCAAAAGGAGAGAGAGAACAAAAGGGAATGCCCTGCCACAGAGGTAGGGTGGGACAGGGGGATGGGGGTGGGAGGGATACTGGGACCCGTGGTGGTGGAAAATGGGCACTGGTGGAGGGATGGGTTTTTGATCATTGTACAATTGAAACCCAAGAACAAAAGTTTGTAAATCTACAACTGTACCTCATGGTGTTTCATTAACAAAATTTTTTTTATAAAATGTAAATGATGGAGAATGGGCACTGGGGGAGGGATGGGTACTGGATCATTGTATAACTGAAACCCAAGCACAAAAATTTGTAAGTCTACAACTGTACCTCATGGTGTTTCACTAATAAAAATTTTTTTAAAAATTTAAAAAAATTAAAATAAATAAATAAAATCAAGTTAAATAAATAAATTTAAGCTAAATAAATAAATAAAATAATACATTAACTTTGAAAAAAGAATAAATTGAGCATTATTAAAATTAATTCTCATTTGAAAGTATGAAAAATTAAAAAGTGAAATTGACAAGATACATGTTCAGATCCCATAAAGGAACTGTATCAGTTCCTTAAAAGGTCAGATTTTAGGGCCAGAGAGAGGATATGGGAATTAAGGATATTGCCTTGCATGCACCCAACCCAATTTTCATCCTTAGCACCAGGAGGTGGAGCACAAAGTGAGGAGTCATCCCTGAGGACTGCAGGGTATGATCCCAAAATAAAAACAAGTAAATAAGTCAGGTTTTAGATGCCAAGGTAATGCCAAATTTCTATAACATGCCTTTCAACAAATAGTGTTTTGTTCTCCCAAGCAATTTTCTGCCATTCAGGTCAGGGATTCAATGTAAGAGCCCAGGGATGTGACAGTAGCCCTGTAGGCTAAGGGAACACAAAAGTAACATCACTGATGCTGCTCTATGGTCAGGCCCTGCAGTGTCTAGAGATGGACATAAGGTGTCTGGGATCATAATAGGGACCAGTTCATGGTACCCTAGTTTCTGCACTCTCTGTCCACCCTCTACAAAGTTTTCAAAGTGTTTTTTCTAAATTTCTTTGTATATGACTAATATGGCATGAAACTGTATACTGTAACAGATCAAAAGATGATGATGAAGAGCACTAAGCCCATATAATTCAGTACCGCTCTATTTATACCCCCAAATTTCCAGTCACAGGATCAAGCCCATTCAACAATTCTCATTTGATTCATTGAGAATGCAGAAAGCCTCTCTCTAATTTCATGTAACACTTCCAAGAAGCTACAAATTATAACCCTTTAAAAAGCACGAGAGAGGCTGAAACGATAGTACTGGGGAAGACACTTGTTGGCAGAGCATAATTCTATATCTGGCACTGAATGGAGTCCCTTGGAAAAAAGTCAGGAGTGATCCCCAAGCCCAGAGCCCACAGTAAACCCTGATCACTACTGGCCGTGGCTCCTAGCAAAACAAAATGAAATAAGTACATAACTGCATGTTTGGTATGGTAAAGTTGTGCTAGCTGCTCGTTGCAAAAAAAAATTTTCTTTGTTTGCATTTGACATAACTTACTTATCATTTTCTTTTGGCAGGTCAGATATTTCTTGTTCCATTATACTCAGAAACTCCTGTTTTTCATTTAGGGTACTTCACTGAAGGGTTCCTGGCATTGCAACATGCCCTGGCTATGTCCCTGATAGCAAAGCAGAACTACACCAAATTCCTGACGCTGTCAACAGTTAGAAATCTCAAAGTGTTTGCTAAGAGATTTCCATATCCAAAGTATCAGCATGATTTCTTCTTCCATTTTTTTAGTAATTTTGTCCCTTTAGTGGTATTATTTGTCTTCTTCATGAATCATCTCACCCTCATTCAATCCATTGTGTGGGAAAAGGATAAAGGACTGAAGGTAATTTCTGTTTTATTGCAATAGATACAAGTTCTGTCAAAAATGTTGAATATATAAGGTTAATTTCTGCTGTGTATTAAACTATTTCCATTCAGCACTGGTGGGCAATTTTGTTGCAGCAGCCACCAAAAAAGTAAACACTTAATCACTTTGCCATTTTCTAAAATGTTACTGGGGATTCTTGGCTTTGTTTTAGCTTTTCTCCTAAAAATACTCCACAAATATAGTAGCACTGTAGTACTGTCCTCCTGTTGTTCATCAATTTGCTCAAGTGGGCCCAGTAATGTCTCCACTGTGAGACTTTTTGTTACTGTGTTTGGTATATCGAATATCTCATGGGTAGCTTGCCAAGCTTTGCAGTGTGGGTGAGATACTCTCAGTAGCTTGCCAGGCTCTCTGAGAGGGGTTGAGGAATCGAACCCGGCTCGGCCGGGCTGGTTGTGCACAAGGAAAACGCCTTACCACTTTGCTGTCGCTCCAGCCCACAAATATAGTACCAAATATAAAATATTTTGAAATTTGTCTATAATAGAATATTTAAATATCAAACGCCTAAACTCTGTCTGGGATTAAAAGAAAATATTAATTTGGGCCATTCCTTCCTGCCTCTCCCTTTCCCTTTCATTTTTGTTGTGCAGTGACCACATTCCTGACTGATGTTTGCACATTTCACCTGTAGTCCACACAGGATTCCCCCATCTTATGGTTTTGCTCACATGCCAGAGTATGGAGCTTTCCAAAGTTGTGATCCTTTAGTCACATTGTGTGTACACGACTTACAAATGGACCCCATGCTTAGTGAAATCACACAAGTGACAGTTGTGGTGCTTCTTGTAGTGGCTGCAATGCTCACACACAATCACCAGGGATAGCTCTTCCCAGCCATGGTTTTCACACATATTTTTAATTGTGGTGCTTATTGGAGAGTTTCACCTTTTAAAAAAAATAATGATGCATGTAACATGTGGCTGCAGTGTGCTTAAAAATCACTTGCAGCAAGCACTAGAGTTCCACAACCAAGATGGCAGGCTCCCACTCAATGCTTGTGGAGTGACAGGATTTGAACTCATATCTCAGGTTTACAAAGCGGGTTCTCTTAGTCACTGCCCGCTTTGTCTGGGCTTACTGTCTTCTAGTACTTTTAGACTATCGTTTCCTATTCCTTCTCCTTTAAGAATTTACCAAGGGGTATGGTGCCGCCAGCAGGTCAATCTATACCTGTGAGGTTAGTGCATTAGCAGCCTAATGGTGCCTGCAGATTTCCAGATACCCCAAAATTGCTGCTGTGACTTTGGCCAGACCCCAAAAATTTGGGGCAAAGTTTACCAAGAAAGTAAACGACCAAAAGTTAGATATGTGGGAGACACACCCACAAACCTCTTCTGGCTCAGCTGTATAATTGGAGGCATGCCCTCTCTGGTTCCTGATCGAATTGCTTAGCAGTCGTGATCCCAGAGACTCAGAAACAAATCTTGAAACCCAATCTTTGCTTTATGTCGTATTCAATCTTTGCTTTATGTCGTATTCAATCCTCACTTAAAAATTTCTATGTGGCTAAGGTCTGGATCAGTCTGCTGTTACTGGTTCTGCTTGGTTATTTTCTTAAGTAAATGAAGTTAAACCTATAGGTCTAATTTCTGGGCATCTGAGTGATTTCCTTGGAGATTGGCAATCATTGTGCTCAGCTACTGAAAATTTTGGCTTGTAACATTACAAATAGTTATTAAAAAAGTCAAACATAAAAATGCTAGGCAAGCAATTTTCCTGCAAGTTATATACCCAGAGTAATTTAAAATGCCATCCAACATGAATACAAATGTTCATATCAATACTGTTCATGAAACACAGATTGGTTAATAGACTAATGTCTTTCCAATGATGTTCAGATTTTACTATATTTATATTCATGATTCTTTAAAGCATGTATTACTATACCACACATCGTATCACTAAATTCTATACAAGTGTGTAAACTAAAGTTAGATACATAATCATTTATGTGCAATGTATTGATAGCTCATAAATGAGTAAAGTTCTTACACATGAGATTGCAGGGATGAGTATCGAAAACATTATGCTTAGTAAAAGGATCAAGCTATAACATGGATATAATTTCTGCACTGCACTGTAGCACTGTCCTCCTGTTGTTCATTGATTTGCTCGAATGGGCACCAGTAATGTCTCCATTGTGAGATTTGTTGTTACTGTTTTTGGCATATCGAATACGCCATGGGGAGCTTGCCAGGCTCTGCCATGCGGGTGGGATACTCTCGGTAGCTTGCCAGGCTCTTCGAGAGGAATGGAGGAATCGAACTGGGGTCAGCCGCATGCAAAGCAAACACCCTACCCACTGTGCTATCAGTCCAGCCCAAACCCAAAGTACTAACTAATCTTGAACCTCAAGATCTTGGTATGAGAATATCTGGTAGCTTTTTTATTTGTTTGTTTTGTGATTTTTTTATTAGTGAAACACCATTGAGGTACAGTTGTAGAGTTACAAATTTTTGTGCTTGGGTTTCGATTATGCAATGATCAAATACCCATCCCTCCACCAGTGCCCATTTTCCACCACCATGGATCCCAGTATCCCTCCCATACCCATCACCCCATCACACTCTGCCTCTGTGGCAGGGCTTTCCCTTTAGTTCTCTCTCTCCTTTTGGGTGTTCTGGTCTGCAAAAGAGGCATTGAATGACAATCATGTTCAGTCCATAGTCAACTTTCAACATGCATCTCCCCTCCTGGGAGGATCCTCCAAACACTCTTTATTAGGTGCTCCCTTCTCTATCTGAGCTGCCCTTTCCCCTAGAATGCCCAGCTGGCCTCTAAGCCATGAAGTAATCTTCCTGGTACTGATCTCGGTTATTCTTGGGTATTAATCTCCTATTTTGTTACTTTATGTCCCCCAGATGAATGTAATCTTTTTATGTCTATCCCTCTCTTTCTGGGTCATTTCACTTAGCATGATACTTTCCATGTAGTACCACTTGCATGTAAATTTCTTGACTTCATCTTTTCTAACAGCTACATAGTACTCCATTGTGTAGATGTACCAATGTTTCTTTAACCAGTCATCTGTTCTTGGGCACTCAGGTTTTTTCCAGATTCTGGCTATTGTAAAGAGTGCTGCAATGAACAAACAAGTGCAGATGTCAATTCGACTATACATTTTTGCCTCTCTGGGATATATTCCCAGGAGTGGTATTGCTGGGTCAAATGGGAGTTTGATTTCTGATTTTTTGAGAATCGTCCATACTGTTTTCCAAAAGGGCTGAACCAGTCAACATTCCCACTAACAGTGAAGGAGTGTCCCTTTCTCACCACATCCATGCCAGCACTGGTTGCTTTTGTTCTTTTGGATGTGGGCCAGTCTCTGAGGTGTGAGATGGTATCTAATTGTGATTTTGATCTGCATCTCCCTGGTGATTAATGATGTAGAGCATTTTCTCATGTGCGTTTTAGTCATTCGGATTTCTTCTTTGCGAAAGTTTCTGTTCATTTCCTCGCCCCATTTTTTGATGGGGTTGGGTGTTTTCTTCTTGTGGAGTTCAACTAGTACCTTGTATATCCTTGTTATCAACCCCTTGTTGGATGTGTATTGGGCGAATATCCTTTCCCATTCTGTAGACTGTCTTTGTATTTTGGTCACTGTTTCTTTTGAGGTGCAAAAGCTTCTTAGTTTGGAAAAATATATACTTTTTTTGGTAGAAGTACTACTACTTATTCAGCCACTGATTAGCTGATTGAATTGGGCATGAACTCCACCTTACTTTTTCTTTTTTCTTTTTTATAATTTTATTTATTGAATCGCCATGAGAGCAGTTACAAAGCTTTCGGGTATAAGTCTCGCTCATACAATGAGACGCCCGTACCTTCACCCCTTCACCAGTGCCCCTTCTCCACCACCATACACCCCAGTATACCCCCATCCTAGACCCTCCCCCTACCTCTGGGGCAGATGATTTCCACATTACTCTCTCTCTACTTTGATCACATTCAATATTTCAACACAAGACCCACCATTATTATTTGGGATTTTACCCCAACATTTGTTTTCCATTGCTGGTTAAGAATAACATATGATGTCGCGTGGTTGCAGTAGTGGCCACGCATTTTGAAATTCCAAAATTTTAACACTTAAATATGGAGGGATTTCTGCCAAAACCTGCTGGGTTCCAAGATTTGTTCCTAAGTCTCTGGGAACATGGCCCAGCTTTGTAACTGCTCTCATGGCGATTCAATAAATAAAATTATAAAAAAGAAAAAAGAAAAAGTAAGGTGGAGCAGCTTGATCAGGATCCAGAAAGGCTGTTCATGGGCGGATCTCTGGGATCATGGCCATTAAAATGGCTTGATCAGGAGCCAGAGAGTCTGTTCATGGGTGGCGACTCAGGGTCTTGTTGGGGTGTGGAGGAAAGGGTCGGCTCCACTCCCATCCCATGAGGCCCCACGTGTCTCGTAACTGCGGGCCCAAACCTGACTGGGCAGTGGCCTCTGGAGGATGGCGACCACCAAAGACAATATGGGCATAACCTTGAGATAGAGTTGGGGAATGAAGATGCTATAGTGAGCATGGATGGTGCTGTCTGTACTGGGTACCAAAGATAGTGATTACACCTCCAGCCGTGTTTCCATTCTCACACAGGGAATTGTCTCAGGTGGTCCAATTATGAACATTATTTCCAGCTTCCCTCCAAGAAGACTATATAGATTTTGGAGGGTCAGTACTATTCACTTCATTTTCTATATTGTTTTTCCCAGTGATTAGTCACGTGTAATTGTATTTTATTACAACAATGCATAAAGGTTTCATTTTTGTATACCCTGGATAATATTTACTTTAATTTTAAATTTTATTATCATTATTATTATTACAGCCGTGATAGTGAAGGTGAGATCATATCTTATTGGTTCTGATTTTCATTTACCTAAAGAGTAATATAGATGGAGTCATACAGTGCATAGCCCTTCAGATTAGCTTCTATCACTTAATTATCCCCATTTAAGATAATTTTATGTCATTCCATAACTAGATAGCTCATTTCCCTTTTAGCACTGAAAAATATTCAATTGTCTAAATTTAATAAATATTTCTTTCCCAGATGTATCACTCTTTAGTCACTCACGTAACTAAAGATTATTTTACTTTGTTCCATACTTAAAAATAAAGAAAGCTGTTATAAACATTTCTGTGTGTAGTTTTGGGTAAATAGCAAGAAGTACAATGAAAGGTTTTAAGGGGAAACATATGGTTTATTTTGGCAATAAACTACTTAACTTAATTTCACATGATAATTAGTATTACTTAGCTCATTTTGGAGGTGGTAGAAATTAAGTTAGAAATAATTTTTACCTGAGCATTTTTAGACTACGGTTTTAGTTTAGATGCTTAAGATAAACTTTAGATTTTCTGTTTCACCAAATACTTCTCTAGAGAGTGAATTCTGTATGAATAGACGTTTCCATGACCTTTGGTTTCTGTTAACTCTCATACAGGAGTACCAGCTTATGATTGGACTCCGTCATTGGATGCTCTGGGCAGCCTATTTCTTCACCTACCTTATTTTTCACCTAATAAGCATCTCTGTGTTGTGCATTGTTTTATTTATCAAGGTAAGTATCTGACTGGAGCATGCTACAGTTAAACTATAGAAGTTAAGCTAGTTTCGAAGGATCACGTCTGCGAGTCAGGATTCCCGATCCAGAGAAAATGGCCCGGATGCGATGGAGCCTGAAGGTGTCATCAAGAGTAATTGGAATGAAATTGCTGACAGCTTTAATGAAATGAACCTCTTTTCTTTTGTTGTTGTTTGTTTTTTGTTTTCCTTTGAATAATTTTCACTTTTTGAGGCGAAAAAAATACTTTAGAAATTAAGCAAAATATTGGTATGAGCCTCTGCATACAGATTGACAGGAATTCAAGTGCATCTTTTATTGACTCAATGTGGGAAACCAGAGGTTGCGTACGGTGTCAGCAAACAAACTATAAACCCACGTGTGTAAAACCTTCTGTAGTTAATGAGCTGTTTAGTCTCTACTCCCCTGAGTGTCAGCAGTTTTATTGATGATAATTAGGTAACAAAGAACACATCAGTAATATTAAAATATTTAAAAATATTTCATTATCCTCTATGACACCACTTAAGAATGTGACTGATGGGGATATCACAGCTGGTAGAGCATTTGCTTTGCATTTGGCCGACCCAGGTTTGATTCCCAGCATCCCATATGGTCCCCGGAGCACTGCCAGGAATGATTACTGAGTGCAAAGCCAGGAGTGACCCCTGTGCATCGCCGAGTGTGACCAAAAAGAAAAAAAAAAAAAAGAAAAGAAAAAAAGAGCATGACTGAACTTGGGCTTAAACAAGGGTTAAAGTACTTGAGTTGCATTCATCCTGTTCTGACAGACACTGACCACTGCCAGGAGTAGTCCCTGAGCACTGCCAGATATGACCCAACCTTCCCCCATGACCTTCTTCCCAAATAAAGAAGTATGACTAAGCTGTCTTCCTGGTTGTTTTGCTAGATTGAACCTAGGCCAGTCCTGCAGTACAGTGAGCTTTCTCTTATCGTCATCTTTTTGCTGTGTTTTGCCTTTGCCACAATACTCTTCAGCTTCATGACTAGCACCATCTTCAGTAAAGGTGAGACTAAATCTCCTATGGGAAAGATCCTCGGTGATTTCGTGAGTACCCAATTTGGAAGCTTCTTTTAAATTTTATTTTACTCACCTATACTTTTGCTTCTCCTGGTAGAATACATAAAAGCCACTTTAGTTAATGATTGGTGATAGTTACATGAAGATTATGTATGAGGTATAAATGCAAAGGTTAGTAAACTATATTAATTTTCATCACCCCATTTCCTCTCTTTCAAGTAATATGTGTCTTTTTAGTGAAAGTATAGCACTGCACTGTAGCACTGTCCTCCCGTTGTTCATCAATTTGCTTGAGTGGGCACCAGTAACATCTCCATTGTGAGGCTTGTTGTTACTGTGTTTGGCATATCGAATATGCCACAGAGAGCTTGCCAGGATCTGCCATGCGGGCAGGATACTCTCAGCAGCTTTTACGGCTCTCTGAGGAATTGAACCTGTGTTGGTCCGTTCATCTCTTCTCCCCATTTTTCTCATGTTGAGCTTTATGAGTATGTTATATATCTTGGATATTAGCCTTTCATCTGACTGTGGTATGCAAATATTTTCGCCCATTAAGTAGCATGTCTTTTATTTTAGTTCAAGTTTCTCTTTGTCTATGAAAAAACTTTTTAGTTTGATATCGGGCAACATCGCCTGATCTGCCTATTGTCTGTCATCTACAAGTTGTTCACTCAAGTCATCCTAAATAGGATCGGCAGAACACTAGATGAAGGACAACCATGCGAGCAAGCCAGGTTCTGCAAAGGATTCAGCACCATCGACCATATCCACACAATAACCAAACTCATTGAGGTTTCTCGGGAGTTCAAGATGCCACTCTGTTTAACGTTCATTGATTTAAAGAAGCCCTTGATTCTGTTGAGACAGAAGCGGTCATTGAAGCCCTAGCCAATCAGGGCATTCAAGCCCAATACATCAAGATCCTCCGTGAGCTGTATTGCGGATTCACTACCAGGATCTCACCATTCTACAAAGAAGTGATCGTTGATGTCAAGAGAGGGGTTCGGCAGGGTGATACCATTTCACCGAAACTCTTCAGTGCCACCCTCGAGAATATCATGTGATGACTGGAATGGGAAGGAATGGGAGTGAAGATAGATGGTCGGCAACTACACCACCTCCGCTATGCTGATGACATTGTTTTAATAACACCAAACATCAGCCAAGCGGCACAAATGCTGGCCGACTTTGACCTTGAGTGTGGAAAGGTAGGACTACAGCTGAATCTTCTGAAGACAATGTTTATGAGAAACAGCCTCGTTCCTGATGCCCCATTCGCTCTCAACAGAACGATCATCTCTGAATGCAACAGCTATGTGTACCTAGGTCGAGAAGTCAACATGACAAATGACCTGGCACCCAAGCTGCGCAGGAGGAAGAGAGCGGCTTGGAACGCCTTCAAGAACGTCGAAAAAATAGTTAAGAGGACGAAGAACCTCCGTCTCCAGGCACATCTCTTTGATTCCACTGTTCTTCCTGCATTAACATATGCCTCAGAGACCTGGGCCCTACGCAGACAAGATGAGAACGCTATTCAGGTCTCCCAAAGAAGAATAGAAAGAGCTATGCTTGGAATATCATTTTTCACTCAAATGAGAGAAAAAACCCCGAGTTCCAACATCTGTCGACGATCAAGAATCAGGGACCCTGTTTCGTTTGCCAAGGTGTCAAAAATCAGATGGGCTGATCACGTAATGAGATTTAAAGACGACCGCTGGACTAGAGCTGTTACTGACTGGATTCCACGGGATGTCAAAAGACCGCGTGGCCGCCCACCTACCAGATGGTCAGATTTCTTCGTCAAGATCATGAACGATCGGTTTGAGGCTTTTCATATTCCCAGAGCGAACAGATGCCATTGGGCTACACTAGCACGCGACAGGGACAAATGGAGACGTTACTGGCGCCCGCTGAGCAAATCGACGACTAAAGGGAAGTTAAGTGATTTTTAATTGATATAACCATTTAATTGATATAACCATGGTCTCATTCACCTGACCCTGAAGGCTTCACCGACATGGCAGCACTGAGAAGGATGAGAAAGGAGAGGCCGACAAAATCTCAAGGCCGACCTAGGCTGCCACAACGAAGGAAGACAAAAATGATCGTCTGTACTTTCAATGCACGTACGCTAGCATCAGATGCATCCATCGAGGACCTGATGGTACAAGCGCGAATGATCAAGTACGACATCATTGGTCTGACCGAGACAAGAAGACACGAATCTCACCATGCCGTTTTCGACACTGGAGAAGAATTGTTCCTCGGAACATGCGATAAAAGAGGTGTTGGAGGCGTCGGTGTCCTTGTCAACACAAACTTGGCCAAGAGCATTGATTCATTTGAATGCCTAACAACCCGAATCGGACGTTTACATTTGAATAGATGTGGCTCACTGCCTGCAGTTTCTATCTTCATTGTCTACGCACCAACATCTCATTATGATGAAAGAGAAATCGAGAAGTTCTACATGGAGCTAGAGAAGTTCTATAAAGAAGACCACACCTTCTACAAGATCATTGTGGGTGATTTTAATGCCAAGATAGGACCGAGAAGATCAGCTGAAGAACTTCACATCGGAACCCATGGCCTAGAATGGAACGAACAGGGTGAGAGACTGTCTGAGTTCATCATGTCGACCAAGACCATTCATGGTAACTCACAGTTCCAGAAGGCAGAATCTAAACGATGGACATGGGAGTCTCCCGGTGGACGATTCCACAACGAAATAGACCACATCATATTCAATCGACGGTTTTGCCTGACTGATGTCGCTGTTGTCCCAAAATTTCGAACGGGATCGGACCACCGTCTCCTTCGTGCAAAATTCTACTTCACAGAGCGGGGAGAAAGGGCTGCAAAGTTCAAAAAGAGAACTCCCAGAACGATCACCAACTGGGAACTCTTTGGTACTATTGCGGCAACATGGGAAGATGCCATTGTTGACAACATTGACGAGGAATACGATCGACTGGTTCAGCACCTCCATGAATGTGCGAGGAACGCCAAGAGAGAGATAGCCACAAAAAGTCGCCTATCTTCGAAAACTCTTGAGCTAATTCGCCAGCGTGGTTTGGCGCATGCCTCAGGCAACCGCAAGCTAACGTCCGAGCTTGCAAAGCAGTGCAGAGATGCGATCAAGGAAGACCTCAAAGAGAGAAGAGCAGAAGTACTGGTAGATGCGGCAGAAGCCGGGAAAAGTATTCGTAACGCCCGCCTGTCCTTCGCCAACTATAAGACCAAGATGACTGCCCTCCGACGTCCTGATGGATCCATCACATCCTCCAGAACGGCAATGGAGAAGATTATCCATGACTTCTACTCAAATCTCTTCGATAGCCATGTCCACTTGCCGACATACCAAATTCCACAGGATGGGTATGTCGTTCCCAACGTTCTCCCTTCCGAAATCCGACACGCCATTTCTTCAGTAAAGAAGCAAACAGCACCCGGCCCAGACAAGGTCAGACCTGAACACCTGAAGAACCTGCCGTCAGTACTCATCAATACACTGGCTCGGCTCTTCACTCGCTACCTGTCTGAATGCAAGGTTCCATCTCAATGGAAAACCAGCAGGACCATACTACTGTTCAAGAAGGGAGACATCCATGACATTGGCAACTATCGCCCGATCTGCCTATTGTCTGTCATCTACAAGTTGTTCACTCGAGTCATCCTGAATAGGATTGGCAGAACACTAGATGAAGGACAACCATGTGAGCAAGCAGGGTTCCGCAAAGGATTCAGCACCATCGACCATATCCACACGATAACCAAACTCATTGAGGTTTCTCGGGAGTTCAAGATGCCGCTCTGCTTAACGTTCATTGATTTAAAGAAGGCCTTTGATTCTGTTGAGACGGAAGCAGTCATTGAAGCCCTAGCCAATCAGGGCATTCAAGCCCAATACATCAGGATCCTCCGTGAGCTGTATTGCGGATTCACTACCAGGATCTCACCATTCTACAAAGAAGTGATCGTTGATGTCAAGAGAGGGGTGCGGCAGGGTGATACCATTTCACCAAAACTCTTCAGTGCCACCCTCGAGAACATCATGCGACGACTGGAATGGGAAGGAATGGGAGTGAAGATAGATGGTCGGCAACTACACCACCTCCGCTTTGCTGATGACATTGTTTTAATAACACCAAACATCAGCCAAGCGGCACAAATGCTGGCCGACTTTGACCGTGAGTGTGGAAAGGTAGGACTACAGCTGAATCTTACGAAGACAATGTTTATGAGAAACAGCCTTGTTCCTGACGCCCCATTCGCTCTCAATGGAACGACCATCTCCGAATGCAACAGCTATGTGTACCTAGGTCGAGAGGTCAACATGACAAATGACCTGGCACCCGAGCTGCGCAGGAGGAAGAGAGCGGCTTGGAACGCCTTCAAGAACGTCGAAGAAATAGCTAAGAGGACGAAGAACCTCCAGCTCCGGGCACATCTCTTTGATTCCACTGTTCTTCCTGCATTAACATATGCCTCAGGGACCTGGGCCCTACGCAAACAAGATGAGAACGCCATTCAGGTCTCCCAAAGAAGAATAGAAAGAGCTATGCTTGGAATATCACGTTTCACTCAAATGAGAGAGCGAATCCGGAGTTCTGACATCCGTCGACGATCAAGGATCAGGGACGCTGTCTCATTTGCCAAGGTGTCGAAAATCAGATGGGCTGGTCACGTAATGAGATTTAAAGACGACCGTTGGACTAGAGCTGTTACTGATTGGATTCCACGGGATGTCAAGAGACCGCGTGGCCGCCCACCTACCAGATGGTCAGACTTCTTTGTCAAGGTCATGAACGATCGGTTTGAGGCCCTCCATGTTCCCGGAGCGAAGAGGTGCCATTGGGCTACACTAGCACGCGACAGGGACAAATGGAGACGTTACTGGCGCCCGCTCGAGCAAATCGACGACTAACGGGAAGTTAAGTGATTAAGTGATAACCATTTTCAAATTTTTGAAAATCTTTGCCAATGGAGACAAATCACTGATATCCTGGAGACTTTTGCCTATTTTCTCAACGTATTTTATTTATCCTAGTTTAATCTCAAGGTTTTAATTCTTTTGTTTATTATTTTATTTGGGAGCCATATCTGGCAGTTCTCTGGGCTTACTCCTTGCTCTGTGCTCAAAGATCACTCTCAGCAGACCTCAAGGGACCATATGTGGTACAAGGGATTAAAGTTTGGTTAGCCATATGCAGAGCAAGTGCCCTACCCAATCTAAGATGGCTTTGGCCCTAATTCTCTTGAATTAACTCTTTTCTATGGTGTGAGATACAGACTGTTTCTTTTTTACCCATGTAACTCTCCAATTTTCCCAGCATCATTTGTTGGAGAGATTATGCATTGTATAATAAGGTAGGTAAGGATGATGACTAAACTTTTATCCTTGAAGTTCTTATTGTGGGACACTTAAAATGAAACAAAGATTTGCATTCTGGGTTTTCATGGTTTTATTTTGGTTGCTTTTGGCCATACCCAGTGGTGCTCAAGGCTTACTCTGGGCTTTGTGCTCAGAAATCACTGCTTGTGGTGCTTGGGGAATCATATACTATGCTAGAAACCTAGGGTCTGCCACATGCAAGGCAAGTGCCTTAACTTCTGTATTTTATCTTTGACGCTGTATTTCAGGGCTTCATTGATTGCTAAAATTAACATTATGATTTCCTTCTTATTTGCAGTACATCTTGCTGTTTCTTTGGGAGGTTTTATTTATATTATATTATACTTTCCAAGTTATTTTGTCATCTCAAACTTTGCAGAGATGTCATTCTTCCAGAAACTGTTTGTCTGTCTCAGCCCAAATGTTGCAATGTCACTGGGAGTTCACTTCCTAGAAATGGCAGAAATGAAAAGTAAGTATTTCACAATTTTTCCCCATGTGCCCAGAGGATAATAAGTTTTAAATATTGATTAATATTTCTATGCTGCCCTTCAAAAAATTGTGACCATTTTAACCAACTATCTGTTCTGCAAAAGTGCTTCTACATAGGGGATATGGTGCCGCCAGCAGGTCAATTTCTGTACCTGTGAGGCGAGTGCATCAGCAGCCTCATGGCACCTTCAGACTTCCAGATACCCCAAAATTGCTGCTGTGCCTTTGGCCAGACCCCAAAAACTTGGGGCAAAGTTTACCAAGAAAGTAAACGGCCAAAAGTTAGGTATGTGGGAAACACACCCACAAACCACCTCCGACTCAGCTATATAAATGGAGGCAAGGCCTCTTTGGTTCCTGATTGAACTGCTTAATGGACATGATCCTAGAGACTCAGAAACGAATCTCAGAACCCAGTGGCTTTAGGTAGAAATGCATCTGGTCTCTGCAGTAGGCTACCAGTGCTGGGCCAACCCAGGTGGGAATAGGTTTCGTGCCTTGGCCTGTTCCCCCTGGCGGCCCAGTGGCCGCCATCCCTCTGAGGCCACTGGATAGTCACATTTGGGCCCCCAGTGACGAGACACACAGGGCCTCACGGGATGGGGGTGGAGCCGGGCTTGTCCTCCCCACCCCAACGAGACCCCAAGTCATCGCCCACAAATGGCCTCTCTGGCTCCTCATCAAGCTGCTCAACGGCCTTGATCCCAGAGATTCAGAAACAAATCTTGAAACCCAGAGGCTTTTGGCAGAAATGTGTCCAGACCCCGCAGTAGGTTACTGTCGCTGGGCCACCCCAGGGGGGAATGGGTGCTGTCCCTCCGCCTGCTCCCTCTTGGCGACTTGGTGGCTGTCATCCTCCAGAGGCCATTGGACAGTCAGGCCTAGGCCCGCAGTGACGAAACTTCTTGGGCCTCACGGGATGGGGTGGGGGGAGTAGCCGGGCCTGTCCTCCCTACCCCAATGAGACCCCAAGTCATCGCCCACGAATGGCCTCTCTGGCTCCTCATCAAGCTGCTCAACAGCCATGATCCCAGAGATTCAGGAGCAGATCTCTAAACCCAGTGGCTTTTGGCAGAAATCCCTCCAGATTTAATTGTTAAAATTTTGGAATTTCAAAACCACATGGCCCTACTGCAGCCACACAACATCATATGTTATTCATAACCAGCAATAGAACACAAATTGTCTATTGTTGCCTTTTCAGCAGATCTGAGTGTTGGGGTAAAATCTCAAATAATGGTGGGTCTGGTGTCGAAATAGTGAATGTGATCAAAGTAGAGAGAGAGTAATGTGGAAATCATCTGCCCCACAGGCAGGGGGAGGGTGTGGGATGGGGGGATACTGGGATTTTTGGTGGTGGAGAATGGGCACTGGTGAAGGTACAGGTGTTTCATTGTATGACTGAGACTTAGACCCAAAAGCTTTGTAACTGCTCTCACGGTGATTCAATAAATAAAATTATAAAAAATGGAAAAAAAAAGTAAGGTGGAGTTCATGCACAATTCAATCAGCTAATCAGTGGCTGAATAAATAGCAGTACTCCTACAAAAAAAAAGTACTTCTACAGTCTCTACAAAAATGTATTGCAAGTTTATTAGAACCACCTATTCCATTCACAGTTGTCACGTACTCTTTGGTTGAAGTCTGCTTACTAACTTTCTTCCTTTTCTATGAGTTAAATATCTTTTAAAAATTCAAATAAATAGCAGTACTCCTACATTAAAAAATATTCTAGCCTTATATTATGTAGCTAACATGAACCCCCATCTTCATTGGTTTTCCTTCATATATATAATATGTATACATATATAATATTATTAATATATAAATAATATGTTACATATATACACAACATACATATGTATACATAGGTGTATGTTTATTATATACTTATATATGTAGAATATCAAGTATATTTGCATGATATATTACACGTACATTATTTATGCATATATAATAGATTATAATATAAAGTAAGTAAAGTAAAGCCCCTCCCGTTGATGATCGATTTGCTCGAGTGGGCCCAGTAACGTCTCCATTGGAGACTTTGTTGTTACTGTGTTTGGCATATCGAATACGTCACGGGGAGCTTGCCAGGCTCTGCCGTGTAGGCGAGATACTCTCGGTAGCTTGCCGGACTCTCCAAGAGGGGCGGAGGAATCGAACTCGGGTCGGCCATGTTAGCTGCGTGCAAGGCAAACGCCCTACCGCTGTGCTATGGTTCAGGCTGAGATTATAATATACTGTTATATAAACATTACACATACATACTGCAGCACTGTCCTCTCGTTGTTCATTGATTTGCTAGAGCGGGCCAGTAACATCTCTATTGTAATATTTGTTGTTACTGTGTTTGGCATATTGAATACGTCACGAGTAGCTTGCCAGGCTTTGCCATGCGGGCGAGATACTCTTGGTAGCTTGCGAGGCTCTCCGAGAGAGGTGGAGGAATCAAACCCAGCTCGGCCGGGCTGGCTGCATGCAAGGCAAACGCCCTACCACTGTACTATTGCTCCAGCCCGTATAAAATAGTAGAATTTAAAATTAGTTGTTTCTATGCACGTAATGAACTATCAAAAAGAGAAATCAATCCTATTTGAGAAATCCTATTTGTGACTTCTTATGAGAAACAAAACAATCCTATTTATAACTTCATTACCCCCCCCAAAAAAATTAAAGGAGTAAATTTGACTAAGAAGATGAAAGAGTGTAAACTGCAAATCACAATAAATTAATGGAAGAAATAGCAGAAAACAGAAATAAGTGAAAAGATATTCCGTGCTTACATGCATATTTATTTAACTTTTAGTATGAAAAGTGATCTGCATATTAACCTATGAATCTGCTTATTTTGATTACTGCTTAATGTATTTTATTTTTATTTCATTCTTGGCTAATAATTTGTTTTGGGCACAGAAGGAGATATATTACATACTTACGAAGATATCCTAAGTTCTAAGAATATATGAAAATAGTGGAGTAAAGTAGAAATCCAGAGAATTACTACATTTCCTTCTCTTTAGTGACATAGATAAGTGATTTTGATCTTTCTTGTCTGGCACCTAAATCAAATATCTTTCTATCTGTTAGAAATAGGACTTAAATGGAAAAACATCACACTAATGGAATATGAGGAATTTTATTTTGCATATATACTAGGAATGTTGCTCTTTGATGGTTTCTTGTACGGCCTTGTGACCTGGTATATAGAAAGTGTATTTCCAGGAAAATATGGCATGCCAAAACCATGGTATTTTTTTATGATGGTGAGTTTCAATATTTCTGTTATTGAGAGAGACCACAGTCTTCATGAACCTGTTTTGTAATTTGTATAAAAATTATCCTGAGTTAATTTTAATTTTGCAGTGTAAACTTGAGTCAACACATCAGGCATGTCAAAATGTCAATTTTATCACTCTAGTCATAATTTACTAGCATTTGTTAATACAGTTTAAAGCTATCTATGTTATAAATACAAATATGTATACATAAATATACATAGCTATGTATACATATATAGCTATAGATATTTATATGTATGTCATGGATACACATTTGTATATGTTTGAAAAGTGACAAGATTTTCAAATTTGGAGTTACATCATATTCTCAATCAAGTACTTCATAAAGGATTTTGCTAAAAGGAAATTTGATAAAACTTACTTGGTAGATTCTAACAAGAAGTTTAACTGTGTGCCATATCTGGGTATTTAACATCACTTCATTTCCTTGGTTTTTCCTCGATTCCTTAGAGTCAGAATCACTGGAATGTGTGAAACTTGTTTATCTTGCCCTCTCTTATCAATCTTTTTTATAATTGTTGGCTTGTGTGTTGCTAAGAGAAGAACTCATGGAGATAATTATAATAATTTTTACTGTGCCATAATCTTGAAGTAATTTTCTCTCTTCAATAGTTAATGATTTTATACAGTATCCCACTTTATTCCTTGTAGATGCATATCAATTAGCTCCAAAATTCAATCCCCAAATATTTTTAAGTTTATAGTAACAGTGTTAATATAATGGGCAATAAGCTTAAGTAATTTCTAATGATTCATGTCTCAGTGCTCTTTTAGTGACGACATCTTAAAATCCTTTTTAGCGCTCTTACTGGTGTGGAGAAAAACATAAGATTAAAGAGATAACATCACTTGATGATACAACTAAAACTCAGTATTTTGAAGAAGAACCTACTAATTTGATAGCAGGAATACAAATAAAAAATGTGTACAAGGTATTGATTCAGATCATTTTTTCTTGATGTTGCTGATATTTAGTTACCAGTTTATTGCAAATGTTTGTTACTGGGAATACCAAGAAAAAAACACATGAGAATAGAAGCTTCACTTCCTAGAAAAGATCCAAACAAAAGTCCGCCTAATATAATAGAAGACACATCTTTCTGCTACCACCAGAATATTCATTATCAGTGCATTCAAAACATCCCCAGTTTGTTGTGGGATCGACCTTGTTATTACTATACTTCCAACCAACTATTCTCTCTGCTGTATCTACGTCCTTCCCTTTAATACATAGGTATTGATTCGCAAGAAAATGCCTGTGTAATTATTTATTTCTTATGTAAACTTTGATTCCTAACTTCTATCTTAAAGTGCGTTTATCACAGAGTGATTGTTGATGCTAGAGTGGATGGAGAAATCAGATGACAAGAGGAGAGGTAAGCGCTGGCAAAAAGTAGCAGCACAGTGCTTAGAATTTGGATGGCATTTCAAGGGTAATGAGTACAGTAGTCATTGTTGTGTGTGTATTGAGCATTTTAACAACATGGGTAGTAAGGACCAAGAAATCTAGGAAAGCTGTTGCATAAACAGGGAACAATAATATGGTACCCACAGGATGCACAGAAATGTCTCGGTAGTCTCATAGTTTCTTAGTCTGTAAATGAACAACAAATGCAGCCATCATAGCCTGAGGAGTGCTCAGGACAAGGACTGTATCATCTCTCACATAGATCTTAACGCAGAGCAATTAACCCCTGATGGGAGTAATCAAGAATGTAAAGAGAAGGGTAGGGATGTTAATTGCAGAGAGGAGCAACAGGAAACTGTTGGTCAATCCATTGCTATTCCGTGTGCAACTTTCTGCCCAGGAAAAAGAAACTCACCACTGTTCTGGAGAAGATGCAAAGGGAGTTGATTTGAAGAGAGAATATTCAAGGAGTAAAATGAAGAAAGTCGATAATTTTGCTTCCCAAACATTATATTCTACACCAGGAGACTTATTTCTTAACTTTGGAGCAAGGTATCATATCACTGACAGCTTCATTTGACAACTCCCAATATCATCATCTTTGGAATTTTATTGACTGAAAAAAGTCAGATTTCTGAAGTTAGACTCCTAGATTTTGTGTACACAAATTCCAGTGACTGGTCAATTTGGAGTTGATAAGGCTCTAATTTGTCTTAAAGCCTATTTGTGGTAAATCACTAAAAATGGTAACAATTGGTTTCAATCAATGGCCATTCTAGCATGCACATTATTCACGGGTTTTCCTGAGTCCCTAGAATAACTGATATGTCACTTATGTTCATCTTCTTCCATCCCATTCTTCCAGCTCTTCCCTGCATGGGATGTGAACTGCAAATCACTCTTTAATAAACTTCCTGTTTTCTAAAACCTTTAAGATTACTTTCCTCGAATTTGTTGTCCAGCAATCTTAGAAATGCTAACGGAATAACAAGTTTGGGCAAGCTGGTTGAACAATTAGGCCTAGGAAAGCAGCACAACGATAGCACAGCGGGTAGGGCGTTTGCCTTGCAGCCAGCCAACCCGGGTTCGATTCCTCCATCCCTCTCTGAGACCCCACCAAGCTACCGCGAGTATCCCACCCATATGGCAGAGTCTGGCAAGCTCCCCATGGCTTATTTGATGTCCCAAAAACAGTAACAACAAGTCTCACAATGGAGACGTTACTGGTGTCCGCTCAAGCAAATTGATGAACAATGGGAGAACAGTGCTACGGGACAGGAGACTCAAAAGAAATGAATTAAAAAATTGGAAGGCACTGTAATATGTCCAAACTTCAGTTGTGAAGGGACATGGTGGAGATCAAAGTTGGCAAAACAGAGACGAAGAGAAATATTGATATCGTACTAGCTTGAACATTAATCATTATATAAATCATCCTGTGATCAGGCATTTTATTTTTTTATTATTTGACAAAAATTATAGTCCTTTATGAGGCAGATGGACATAATATGATTTATGTTCTGAAATTACCATTCTTGGCTGCTATGAAGGGCATAAATGGAAGAAAATAAACAAATTGAGATTATTGTAGTTTCGGCTTAAGGGTAAGATGACCTTGTGGACTAGTCTTATGGCAGTGGAAACAGACATTCGGCATTTATGTTTTGGAATTAGGATGAAAAAGATCTTCCTAATTTGATGTGTAACTTGATGTGTGATTGAGAGATTAGGATAAAATTAATTGTGATTTATGGAAAATGTTTTTTATAAGTAGAGACATTGTCAATATTGGAGAATTTGAGGATATTTGGTAACTTGTATCTTTATTGAGGGTTTGAGAAATTAAGTTTTCATTTGGAAAAACATACCTTAGAACACTCACTGAAGTTTAGATTTTAAACCAGCTGTTAAAGTAATATTTAGGTCAGGGAAGAAAATAAGATAAATATGTCTAGGGATTGCACTGTAGCCTATCCTCCCGTTGTTCATCCATTTGCTCAAGCGGGCCCAGTAACGTCTCCATTTTGAGACTTGTTGTTACTGTGTTTGGCATATTGAACACATCACGGGTAGCTTGCCAGGCTTTGCTGTGCGGGCGAGATACTCTCAGTAGCTTGCCGGGCTCTCCGAGAGGGGCGGAGGAATCAAACCCAGCTTGGCCGGCCGGGCTGGCTGCACACAAGGCAAACGCCCTACAATTGTGCTTCGGTGAAAAAGAAATTACAGAAACAGAATTTTCTTTTCTGTTATGCACGGTTAAACTTATCTAATCATAAGTTTTTTGTAAGGAAAATACTTCCATTCTGAATTAATGACCTAAAGTACCAATTTTTTCAACAATTTCTCAAACTATTTATACTTGAAAATTTACCAAAATCTTACTACTATTTATTCACCAGTAGTAAAACCCCACTTCACTGATGTGTTCAGGTAAAGCTTGGTTTTGTATATTATATAACATTTTGTTTGCTAGAGAGGAATGATCATTTTAAGGAGAAGCACTACTAATTAAGACAAAGAAATCTGAGATAACTATCTGTATCTTAGATCTCTTATTCATATTTTCTATTAACGGTTTACTAAATTCCAACAAACATATTTACTATAGAAGTATGTGGCATCATCAACTTCAGGATAAAATAAAGTATAAACCGAGCAGAGATAGATGAGGTTGTTTACCAGCTGATAAATTTATGGTGAAAATCTAAATTGTGTGCTTTAAAAAGTATTAACTTTCAAAATTTCATCATTCATGCATTTTTTTCTCCTTTCAGATTTATTACATGTTATTGTTTCTTCTAGAGGCAGTTTGTATAAGTGCTTATTCTTCCAAAGTGATTTTGAAAAAGATTTCAAAGTGAAGAACAAAAAAAAAATGTGCCACTAGGGATATTGGCACACCATACACTTTTAAATATATATAAAGTATTTGTGGCTTTCTCCTGCAGAATTTTCATATGTATAAAACTGAAAAAGTAGCTGTAAAAAAATTGACTTTGAATATATATGAGGGGCAGATCACTGTGCTTCTAGGAAACAATGGGGCAGGAAAATCCACTACTCTCTCCATTCTCTCAGGTATGTTGGGCTTTCTTTTTTTTTTTTTTTCAGACCGTATACCCTTCTGGACACCGTAGATAAAGCTTACACTCTAGCCTAGGGCTAGAGTGATAGTACAGCAGGTAGGATCTTTGCCTTGCACGTGACAAACCCGGGTTCAATTCCTAGCATCCTTCATGGTCCCCTGAGCACTGCCAGGGATAATTCTTGAGTGCATAAGCCAGGAGTAACCCCTGAGTATCGCTGGGTGCGACCAAAAAAAAGCAATAAAAGAAAAAAAAGCTTACAAGACTTTTGTGCATCCTCATAATGATAATAGTTTAATCTGCATTACTATATCTGTTCAATCACTACTTACTTTTAAATTATATATAATTAAAAATTTTTTAAATATTGTCATTTCAAATCACTATCACTGTCATCCTGTTGTTCATTGATTTCCTCAAGCAGGCACCAGTAATGTCTCCTTCGTCCTAGCCCTGAGATTTTAGAACGTGCCACATTTGAGGCTCTTTCAGGGTCAGGAGAATGAGACCCATCATTGTTACTGGTTTTTGGCATATTGAACACTCCACGGGGAGTTTGCCAGACTCTGCCATGCGGGTAAGACACTTTTGGTAGCCTGCCAAGTTCTCCAGGGTAAGAACTAGATAATAAGATGTCGCATGGCCGCAAATGCGGCCACGTGCTTCCGGGAGCTGGGTAGTCCAAGTCTCTGGGTCTTGGCCGTTGATGGGATTACACGGTGCCAGGGGCAGTAGGTGGGTGTAATGCCTAACTACTGGAAGATGGGGGATCTGGGTGGACTCCTCCCAGATCCAGCCCCAATCCAAGCAGGGCTGGAGATCTACGCCCCGGGTCCTGCACACCTGGGTTCCTCTGCCGGTTCCTTCATGTGTGAGGCTTGTACAAATGTGTGGAGAGTGGTCTTAAGCATGGCTGTGGCTGAAACTGGAGGTCTTCAGCTGCCAGGGCTCTGCTCGGCGCGGGGAGGGAAACTCAACCCACCCTCCTCCAACAGGCCCTGGTGAGGACACCCAGGCACAGAGGCAGGAGACTCTGTGCTGTTCTCTTCTGGGAGCTGGGTTTTATAGTCTCTGGGTCTGGGCCGTTGATGGGATTACACAGTGCTGGGGGCAGTTGGTGAGTGTAACACCTACATACTGAAAGATGGGGGATCTGGGTGGAGGAGTCCCAGTCCCAATCCGAGCAGGCTTGGAGATCTATGCCCCTATCCACTCTCCACACGTTTGGACGAGCCTCACGCGTGAAGGAACCGGCAGAGGAACCCAGGTGTGCAGGACCCAGGGCATAGATCTCCAAGCCTGCTTGGATTGTGACTGGGCCTCCTCCACCCAGATTCCCCATCTTCTAGTATGTAGGCATCATTTCAAATATTTTTAGTTTTATTTTACCTGAGGTAAGATGGTCATGAAGCTATATAATATGGATATACAAAGTTACTGCATTCTACTACCACCAAAGTGCCCACAACCCTCTACTATTATCATCTCTTCTGGTTCTCATCCCCACCACACCCACACCCCTTCCCACCATTACTTGATAATCAGTTTTCAATCTAAGGTCAAGAGTTTGCCATTTTTCTATATTGTCTATTCCCCATTTTTCTCTCTCTCCATAGATAAGTGAGATCATTCAGTATTTGTTCTTCTTCCCTTGACTTATTATTCCATCACTTTTTTATGAGGTACCATGACTTCTGATACTTTCAATGAGTTTCATGCATACATTGTTCCTATACCACATGCACCACCAGAGTGCCCTCTTTCCTCTACCAATGCCCCAAGGACCACTGCTATCCAACTTCTACCTCCCAAGTAAGCTCAGTTTTGTAGACTAACCTCTCCCCAGTTGCATTTTGCTTTTGTTGTTACCTTAGCCTCTTCACATTCAACATATGAGAGAGAACATTCTGTATCTGTTCCTATTCTAATTTCACTTAGCATTAGTTCCATACCCTTAGTTTCATCCATATGAAGCAAATTGCGTGATTTCTTCTTTTCTGATTGAAAATAGTATTCCATTGCATAATGTTGCATGAACGTTCGTTCAGACAAGAAATGTGAAAGAAATTTATGTCATGGAGGGCCCAGGTTCTCTCAGACCTGTGAGAAAGGTAGAGAGCCCCGAAATCTCCTTTTATTACCATCCTACAGTTCAATTCAGTGAGGTTATCAACAAAGGAGTTACAGGAAGAACATGCAAAACTGAAAGCTTTTCTGAATACTGAAAACAAACAAAGTACCTAGGGTCTGCATACTGACAACAAACAGGTTAAGTAACCTTCAAGGATCTGTGAGAAAAGGACAACTGAAAATTTCAGTATACTGAAATTTATGAAATTATTCACTAAAGCAGCCAAAAGAAAAAGATGTTCACTCTCATCCAAACCAGTCAGGACACACAAGAAATCTCGCCCACTTTCATGGGTCCCTATGTTCCTGCCCTTGTGTGGAGAAGTTTACATGGGCTCACCCTGGTAGCTCAGTCCAGCCCCAACAGCATAAATTATCACTATCACTTTCACTATCATCCCATTGTTCATTGATTTGCTCAAGTGGTCAATTAAAATGGATTAAAGGCCTTTATTTAAGAAAGCCTTGACCAATAAATTATCTTGAGGAAAACTTATGCAGAACCCTTCATGACATTGAATCTAGAGGCATCTTCAATAAGTGACTCTCTGCCACTGGCCATGCAGACAGAAGCAAAAAGAAACAAATGGAACTGTATCAAATTAGAAGTTTCTGGATGACCAAAGAAATGAGTAGAATAAAAAGACATCCCACATAATGGGAGAAAATATTTATCTGCCACTCATCTGATAAAGGATAATATCCAAAGTCATAAAATGCATACAAAATAGCAAAAACAACAACAAAACACCATCAAAAAAGTGATGAGATGAAGAGACACTTAAGGAAGACATAATGAAGGCCAACTGGTATATGAAAAATGCTCTCATCACTTATCAAGAAAGTGCAAATCAAAACAAAGTGAAAATATCACCTCACATTATGAGATTGGCATACATAAAACAAGATTAAAACTGTAAGTGCTAATGTGGATGGAGACAGTGAAGGCAGATTTTAAATCATAAAAAAAGGCTTTTTCCACTGTGGAGAAGCCTGTGTTTTCTCTTAACAACCTCTCTTCCTTCTCACATTTCTTTAAATAAGATTCTTTAGGGCTGGAACGATAGCACAGTGGGTAGGGCATTTGCTTGCACGCGGCTGACCTGGGTTCAATTCCCAGCAACCCATATGGTTCCCCAAGCTCTGCCAGGAGTAATTCCTGAGTGCAGAGCCAGGAGGAACCCCTATGCATGGCCAATTGTGACCCAAAAATTTTTTTTAAAAAGTTTCTTTAAATAAAACTATTTTGCTTCCCAAAATGTCAATGAAATTGGCAAAGTTTTTGTTATACTGAACAAGAGGAAAACACAGTGATTTGCATTGTTTAAATCAGGAATTGAAGATTTATGACAAAAACTAGAATTTAGTGTTGATCAAATAATCTCAGTTTTAATACAACTAAAATTATAACACTGTTAAAAATAAAACTGAAATGAATGTGAAAATAGGTGCAGCTTCAGAATATTTGGTAATTTGGGACAAATGGTCAGTTATTGTGATTTACATTTTGAGCCACATTTATTCTCTGGAGCGATAGCACAGCGGTAGGGCGTTCGCCTTACAAGCGGCCAACGTGGCCGACCCGAGTTCGATTCCTTCGCCCCTCTTGAGAGCCCGGCAAGCTACCGAGAGTATTCGATATGCCAGACACAGTAACAACAAAGTCTCCAATGGAGACGTTACTGGGCCCGCTCGAGCAAATCGATGATCAACGGGAGGGCCTTTACTTACTTCACTTACTTACATTTATTTTGAAAGTAGAATTAACATCATACTGAGTTTGAAGTAGTTTACCCCCCACCAACCATTAAACTTTCCAATTTTGACATATCTGGCTAAACAATATACATGTTGTATATTGTATGTTTTTCTCCCCTTACTAAAATTTTAGTCCTACAAACAGAGCAGCTTTAATTGTCTGGATTTTCAAGTTTTACAAGTCTGCCAAAGTTTAGGACTGTGTACACAAGTTGTCATGATTAACAAAGTTTGTCAAATGGCTTATGGGAATGCTAAAATCCTCTAATACAATAAGATCATTGCTGTTTTTACAATCCTAGTGATAGTAAAATTCTCGTACATATTCACTGAAAAATAGAACATGCAATTCAAAATTACAAAATAGTTTCTAGTCTTATCACCCCAAAGATAATAGTTTCTATAATTTTCTTCCGAATGAGATAATAGTAATTCTATCACTGTTATGTGATCCACTATGCTATTTTGAACTTAAGGGCATAATGAACATTTTGTTGCCATTATCCTTATGAAAGCAAAGGTTTGGTCATATTCTCTACTTTTCCACAGAACTTGTATTTCATTTCTTTGAATTGAAATAATGAAGACTTCAAAGACTATGTTTTAGCAATACAATACACTTAGCAATACACTTCTTTAAAATGTACATTACCACACCCACCATTAAAGTACCAATACATTTTCACCATAGTCTACTCAGCTACTCCCTACTTCAATTACTTTCCCATTTTGCTAACTTCAAAATGCTTTCAGAATCTAAAGGATTGTTTTCCTTGTCTTCCTTTATTCCCTTCTTCCAATACCACATACAAGAGGATTTACTCAGTATTTGTTTTTCTCCTTCTGACTTATTTTCTTAGTATGATTTCTCCCAGCTGCATCTACATAATAGGAAAAAATGGAAGATTGCATCTTTTCCAATAACTGAGTGCAATTCATTGTGTACAAATCACATTTTCTTAATCCAATATCCATTGTCGGACTACTTGGCTTGTCTCTTGACAAGCTTTTGTAGAGAATGTGTGTCAGTGAACACAAGTATTTATTTTTGAATTAGTTTTTTTGTTTTCTTCATAAAAATACCTAAGAGTTGAATCGATGGATCTTGAGAAAGATTTATTTTAAATGTTTTAAGAGTTGTACCTTCTGTTTTTCATAAAAGTTGAACTAATTTGCATTCCCACTGCAAATGTATAAAAGCTCCCTTTTTTGTCTACACTTATGCCTGTTGTTGTTTCTGGCCCTGCAATTCTCACTAAGGTTCTACCTGTTTTGATTTTCATTTCCCTGATAAGTAACAGTAGTTGGCAATATTTCATATTTCATTTAACATGTTTGTTGACCATCTGTATTTTTTCTTTTTCTTTCTTTTTTTTTTTTTTTTTTTGCTTTTTGGGTCACGCCTGGTGATGCACAGGGGTTACTTCTGGCTTTGCATTCAGGAATCACTCCTGGCAATGCTCAGGGGACCATATGGGATGCTGGGAATTGAACCTAGGTTGGCCGCGTGCAAGGCAAATGCCCTACCCACTGTGCTATCACTCTAGCCCCATCCATCTGTGTTTCTTATTTGGGAAAGTAACTCTTGCAATTATCTTCCCATTTTTGAAATGTTTGTTTGTGTACTAAATAAATAGGAAATTCTAAAATGTGCATGTGTATCTTGAATATTATCTCCTTTATTCAATTTTTTAGGTTATATTTTGCCATTATTGGTAGTTTCTTTTGCAATTCAGGAGGTTGTGAGTTTTATTCAATAACTTTTTTTCTTTTCCCCCCTTGTCATTGAAGTTAAGACATATCGAAAGTTTACATTTGGGATAATTAATTTTTTTTGGCTTTTTGGGTCACACCCAGCGATGCTCAGGGGTTACTCCTGGCTCTGCCCTCAGGAATTACTACTTGAGGGTTCAAATGGGATGCTGAGGATCAAATCGAACCCAGGTCAGCTTTGTGCAAGACAAAAGCTTTACCACCTGTACTATCACCCCTATATCTAGGATTATTTTGTCTAAGTTTCATTCAATGTAATTTTTGAATTGGTGAGCAACATCCAAGTCTTTAATTCATTTTCAGTTCGCTTTCTTCCATGTAGTGTAACAATTATTCAGTTTTTCTTTTTTTTTTCCTTTTCTTTTTCATATAGCTATCTAGATATCCCAGTACCACTTTTTTTTTTCTTTTTGGGTGCCTGGCTCATGCACTCAGGAATTACTCCTGGTGGTTCTTGGGGGACGATATGGGATGCTGGGAATCGAACCTGGGTTGGCCACGTGCAAGGCAAACGTCCTACCCACTGTGCTACCCAGCCCCAGCACCAGTTATTAAATAAAACTTTCATCCATCCATTTGGCCTCTTTGTTGTGACTTAACTTGCTAATTAACTTGTGTAAAGAACTAATAATTCATATATGGGAGGATTTAATTCTGGGCCTCAATTCTATACTTTTAGTAGCACTGTCCTCCCGTTGTTCATCGATCTGCTCAAGTGGGCCCAGTAACGTCTCCATTGTGAGACTTGTTACTGTTTTTGGCATATCGACTATACCACAGGTAGCTTGCCAGGCTCTGCTGTGTGGGCAGGATACTCTAAGTAGCTTGCCAGGCTTTCCGAGAGGGGTGGAGGAATCGAACTCGGGTTGCCAGGGTCGGCCGCATGCAAGGCAAACACCCTACCCACTGTGCTATCACTCCAGCCCATCTGTATTATTCTACTGTCTTCAGGCCTTCTGTTTGTTTGATTTTGCCACACTCAGTTCTGATCAAGGGCTCCTCCAAGCTAAGTGCTTAGGTATCGCTCTTGGCTTTGCTTAGGAGATCATGTGGAGCTAGAAATCAAACGTGGACTTTCTACATGTAAAGTATGCACTCCAATCTATTGAATTATCTTGCTGGCCCAAAATTATTTTTATTATTGTATCTTGGTAGTATAGTTTGAATTTGGAGACCATGATGCCCCAACATCTTAAAGTATTCTATAGTAAATTAAGTGGATCATTCATCATGACCCAAATGGGTTTACAGGTATGGGTCAACACAAGCAAATTAAGTAGTATAATAAATTGTATCAGTAGCATTGTAGCACTGTCACTGTCCTCCCATTGTTTATCAATTTGCTCAAGCGGGCCTAGTAACGTCTCCCCTGTGAGACTTGTTGTTACTGTTTTTGGCATATCAAATACACTATAGGTAGCATGCCAGGCTTCGCGGTGCAGATAGGATACCCTCAGTAGCTTGCCGGGCTCTCTGAGAGGGATGGAGGAATCGAACCCAGGTTGGCTGCATGCAAGGCAAATGCCCTACCTGTTGTGCTATCGCTCCAGCCCATCAATAAATGAAATACAAAAAAATCATGATTCTATCAATAGATGTGGAGAAAACTTTTGTTAAGATTCAACTTCTGTTATTAAAATTTCTCAAGAAAATCTAATACATATCTTAGCATTACTTAGTGGTAAAAAAAAACTTAAAAGCATTTCCTCAAAACAGGTACAAGTTCTTACCACTATTGCTCACCATAAATAAATCTATGTAAATAGAAGAAAAGCTATCACTATTTGCAGATGAAAAAAGAAATGTAAATAGAAAATTTTAAAGATGCAACTAAAATGTACTAAAAACTATAATACACAAAATCAATGGACAAAAATCTGTTGCATATATATGTATATGGAATTAACTTGAGAAGAAATAAATTAAGAAATAATCACAAAAAAGAATTATATGCCTAAGAATAAAGTTAATAACAAAGATGAACTACTTTAAAATACCTTAAGCAAGGTATTTTAAAATATCTTACTTTTTTAAATCTACAAAAGGAATTCTACAGAGAAATAGAAATTTATTACGTGCATATGGATGAGAAAATACTTACAGTTAAAAGGTGAAATTGTTGTCTAGAATAATTCAATCTGTGTCAAAATCCCAGTGACATTCTTCAGAGAGATAGAATAAACATCATTTGAATTTGTAAAAAAAACACAAAAGCCAAATAGCCAAAACAACCCTATGATTATACTTTGTTTGCTTTTAGGTCTCTATCCTGCTACTAGTGGAGAAGTATATATCAATGGATATGAAGTCTCAGAACAAATAGTTGAGATTAGAAAAAGCTTTGGCTTGTGTCTCCAGCAGAACTTATTGTATAATAACATGACAGTATCAGAACAACTTTATTTCTACTCTGTGGTGAGTCAGATATGTTCCTTCTGTCCAGTATATTGCTGTACTGCAGGTAGATTACAAACCACTGTTATTCTTAGAGAGTGCAAAAATTGGTTTTTGATCATTGTACTTTAAGCATAAAGATGAATATAGAGAAGATCGCATGATATCATGTAGCAAAACAACTAGTGTACTATACTTCTGAAGATAAAATTAAAGATATGTTTTCGTGTGCCTTTTGGCCATTTGTATTTCTTTTTTGAGTAAGCTTCTGTTCATTTCTTCTCCCCATTTTTTGATGGGGTTCGAGGTTTCTTTCTTGTACAATTCTACTAGTCCCTTGTATATCCTCGATATTAATCCCTTATCAGATGGGTATTGGGTAAATATTCTTTCCCATTCCATGGACTCTCTCTGTATTTTGGTCACTGTTTCTTTTGAGGTGCAGAAGCTTCTTAGTTTAATATACATTTGTTTATGTTTGTTTCCACTTGCTTGGTCAGTGGTGTTTCATCCTTAACGATGTTTTTAGTTTCAAAGTCATGGAGGGTTCTGCCTCCATTTTTCTCCATGTACCTTATGGATTCATATGTGATATTGAAGTCTTTAATCCACTTTGATCTGACTTTCGTGCCTGGCATTAAACAGAGGTCAGAGTTCATTTTTTTTGCAGGTAGCTGTCCAGTTTTCCCAGCACCACTTGTTGAAGAGGTTTTCCTTGTTCCACTTCACATTTATTGCTCCTTTGTAAAGATTAAATGATCATAAATTTGAGATTCTGTGACAGAATATTCAACTCTGTTCTACTGGTCTGCAAGTCTGTTTCTAGCCCAATACCATGCCGTTTTAATTACTACTGCTTTTGTAGTACAGTTTGAAGTTGGGGAAGGTGATGCCACCCATCTTATTTTTTCCAAGGATTGTTTTAGCTATTCATGGGGGTTTACTCTTCCATATGAATTTCAGAAGTGTTTTGTCTATTTCTTTGAAAAATGTCATGGGAATCCTGATAGGGAAAGCATTAATCTGTATAGTGCTTTGGGGAGTATTGCCATCTTGACTATGTTAATCCTCCCTATCGCTAATCATCAGGAAGATGCAAATGAGATATCATTTCACACCACAGAGACTGGCACACATTCAAAAGAAGAAAAACAACCAGTGCTGGCATGGATGTGGGGAAAAAGGGACGCTCTTTCTTTTTATTCTTTTCTTTTTTTTTTAATTTTTATTAGTGAAACACCGTGAGGTACAGTTGCAGACTTAAAAATATCTGTGATTGGGTTTCAGCCACACAATGATTGAATACCCATCCCTCCACCAGTGCCCATTCTCCACCACCACTAATCCCAGTATCCCTCCCACCCCCATCCCCCCATCCCACTCTGCCTCTGTGGCAGGGCACTCCTTCTTGTTCTCCCTCTCCTTTTCGGTGCTTGTAGCTTGCAAAAGAGGAGTTGAGTGGCAATCATGTTCGGTCTATAGTCTACTTTCAGCATGCATCTGCCATCCTGGGTAGATCTTCCCAACACCCTTTATTTGGTGCTCCCTTCTCTATCTGAGCTGCCTTTACCCCTAGCGTGTGCGGCTGGCCTCCAAGCCCTGGAGTAAACCTCCTGGTACTTACTTTGGCTATTCTTCGGTGTTAGTCTACTATTTTGTTACTTTATGTTCCCCAGATGAATGCAATCTTTCTGTCCCTCTCTTTCTGACTCATTTCACTTAGCATGATACTTCTCATATAGTACCACTTGTATGTAAATTTCATGACTTCATCCTTTCTAACAGCTACATGGTACTCCATGGTGTAGATGTATCAAAGTTTTCTTTACCCAGTCATCTGTTCTCGGGCACTCAGGTTTTTTCCAGATTCTAGCGATTGTAAACAGTGCTGCAATGAACAAGTGCAGATGTCACTTTGACTATACTTTTTTGCCTCTCTGGGATATATTCCCAGGAGTGGTATTGCTGGGTCGTGGTCTGAAAAGATTGTTGATATTATTTCTATCTTCCTGATTCTATTCAGGTATGTTTTGTGTTCTAGCAAATGGCCTATTTTGGAAAATGTTCCGTGTGCACTGGAGAAGAATATGTATTCTTTCTTTTTAGGGTGTACAGCCCTGTATAGGTCTATAAGCCCTTTTTCTTCTATTTCTTCTTTTAAAGCCAATGTTTCCTTCCTGAGTTTTGTGCTTGTTGATCTATTCAGAGGTGATAAGGCAATGTTGAAGTCTCCAACTACTATTGTGTTGCTAGCAATGTCCTCCTTAAAATCTGTTAGCAGTTGTTTTAAATATTTAGCTGTTCCCTCATTAGGTGCGTATACATTTAAGAGTGTTATTTCTTCCTGTTGTACGTATCCTTTGATAAATGAAAAATGGCCTTTGCTATCCCTTTTAACCTTTTTCAACCTGAAAATAATGTTGCCACATACTAGTATGGCCACCCCAGCTTTTTTGATGGAGCTGTTTGCTTGCAGGATTGTTTTTCATCCTTTAACTTTGAGTCTGTGTTTGCTCTGACTGTTCAGATGAGTTTCTTGTAGGCAGCAGAATGTTGGGTTCTGTCTCTGACTCCATTTTGCCACTCTGTGTCTCTTAATTGGTGAATTTAGACCGTTGACGTTGAGACAGATTATTGTTATGGGGTTTTGTGTCATCTTTTTGTAGGGGTCTGTTGTGCTTGTACGGTTTGTCTTGTCTATAGTAGCCCCTTTAGCCCTTCTTTTAGGTTTGGCTTTGAGGCTATGAAGTTCTTGAGCTGATGTTTATCTAGGAAATAGTGTACTGTTCCTTCGAGTTTGAGTGAGAGTTTAGCTGGATAGAGTATTCTTGGTGAAGCATTCATTTCAGTGAGTTTTTTCACTATATCCCACCATTGCCTTCGGGCACGGAGGGTTTCCTCTGATAGGTCTGCTGTGAATCTAAGGGGTTCTCCTTTGTATGTGATTTCCTTCTTTGACCTTGCTGCTTGCAGTATTGTGTCTCTATCAGCTACATCCATCATTCTAACTATGATATGTCTTGGAGTGTTTTTGTTAGGGTCTCTTTTAGCTGGCACCCTTCAGGCTCTTTGAATCTGAATGGCTGCATTGTTTAGCTCTGGGAATTTTTCAGCAATTATTTGTTTAACCGTGGCTTTTTCATTGGGATTGTTTTCCTGAGTTTCTGGTACTCTGGTGATTCTAATGTTGTTCCTCTTGGACTCACCTCCTAGGACTCTGATTTGCTCTAGAGCTATTTTGAGGTCTATTGCCATTGTTTGTTGTTACCTGTTGGCTTGATGCAGCTGATCTTCCAGCTCACTGATTCTGTCTTCAGCTGTGGTCATTCTACTGTTGAGGGCACAAACTGAGTTTTTTATTTCATCTATGGAATCTTTAATTTATGACATTTCTGTGTGTAAAGGTAAGGTAAAGGTAAAGGCCCTCCCGTTGATCGTCGATTTGCTCGAGCGGGCCCAGTAACGTCTCCATTGGAGACTTTGTTGTTACTGTGTCTGGCATATCGAATACTCTCGGTAGCTTGCCGGGCTCTCCAGGAGGGGCGGAGGAATAGAACTCGGGTCGGCCATGTTGGCCGCTTGTAAGGCGAACGCCCTACCCGCTGTGCTATCGCTCCAGCCTGTGTGTAGCTTTCCAATTTCTGCTCTCTTTCTGGATTTTCTTGATTGTTCGATTCATTGTATCTTTCATGTCCTCCTTGAATTTACTGGATATCTGTCTGAATGTTTCATTGAGTTCATTGAACATCTTCATGACTTCATATCTGAATTCTTTGTCAGAGAGGTCCCTTAGGTGAGTAGCACCTACTGAGGCTTGTGGACTCTTCATTGTCCTCCCCACGTGTTGGAGATTTCCACTGTTTCTTCATGTTGGTGTGTAGGTATGGGGACTGTGATGTTACACTAGATTTCTTAGTATGACTAAACAACCTGCGGCCGCATGAGTGGCCACCCGCCTAAAATTAGGCCACGCCCACTTCTACCGAAGTCACGCTCACTACCGAAGAGGCCACACCCCCACGGGAACTTGGTGTGTGGGGGGAGTAAAGGCTGGGTGGGGAAGAAGACCGGAACAGCGTTGGGGATGAAGAGGAGGAGGCAGAGGCTCAGGGCTGATTTTGTCCCAGGGTCCTAGAGGACGCCTGGGGTGCTTGCAGGGAGAAAGCCAAGAAGGACACTCTTTCACTGTTGGTGGGAATGTTGACTGGTCCGGTCTTTTTGGAGAACAATATGGGCATTCCTTCAAAAACTAGAAATTGAGCTTCCATATGACCCTGCCATACCACTCCTGGGAATATATCCCAAGGGTGCAAAAGGCACAGTAGAAATGACATCTGCACCTGTATGTTCTACTGTTCACAATAGCCAGAATCTGGAAACAACCCGAGTTCCCGAGAACAGATGACTAGTTCAAGAAACTTTGGTACATCTACACAATAGAATATTATTCAGCTGTTAGGAGAGACGAAGTCATAAAATTTGCTTATAAGTGGCTGGACAGGGAGAGTATCATGCTAAGTGAAATGAGTCAGAAAATGAGGCACAGATATAGAAGGACTCCACTCATTTGTGGGATTAAAAAATAACATAGAGGTTCCTCAGGGAGCCAGGGAGTGCATCCCTTTCCTGTGCCCCATGAGTGCACCTCACCTGCATGCCCCTTTTCTGCGCAAGGCCCCCACTGTAGGGCAGCGGTAGGAGTCTTTGGGGAACACCTGCCCGAGTGCCAGGGGACAACCTGCCCACCTTTTCATGACGCCACCAACCTCTGCAGGTTCCTAGGTAGTGAGTCCCTGAGACTGGCTGGGGACGTGGCCACCACGTAGGGGCGTGGCCTCCTCAAAAGTGGGCGTGGCTTCTCTGAGGCGGCTGCAGTTATATTTCCCACTCCCAGCACTCTCAATTCACATCCCAGCCTTAATCACCTAATTCTGTGGAAAAAATCCTGGCCGCCTCAACTACAGTACAAAATAATCCATTGGCCTACTCCAATTCTAACAAAAGACCAGTACGCAAGAAGCTGTACAAGCCCAATATAAAAGAGCACCTCCAACGCTTCACTAGATGCCCGTCATAAGCCACAGAGGAATACCTGAGAGGAAGGACAGATTCTAGAAAGGGAGAAGAGTGACCACCACAAACTGACCTTATTCAGAATCCTCTCCCATGATAAGAGGGAACAGTGCTAGTGAATTCCAAGGTTTTACCTCTAGACAACCACAACAGCATGAAGAAACAGCGCAAATCTCCACTACGAGGAGAGGATGAAGAAAAGAGTCCAGAATCCTAAACAGGGGTTATCCACAAATATGCTCACTCTGATAAAGAATTCCAAGATGAAATACTGAGGATGTTCAAGGAACTACTCAAAGAGTCAATGGAGGAGACATCCAGAAAATAAAAGGAAAAAATGAAAGAAACGGTGGAACGGATAGTCGAGAAAATACAGGAAGAAATGAGAGCAGAAATACAAAAAAAAAAAAACAAAAAGAAGTGTCACAAATAAAGGATTCGGTAGACGAAATTAAAAACTCCGTGGGTGTCCTCAGCAGAAGAATGAATACAGATGAGACAGGATCAGTGAGCTTGAAGATGAGCAACAGAAATCACATAGGGAACAACAAACAATGGGAAAAGACCTCAAAATAGCTCTAAGGAGAATCAGAGACCTAGGGTATGACACCAAAGGAACACAATAGAATCATCAGAAAACCAGGACAGGGAGGCAACCCCAATGAAAAAGCCACGGTTAAACAAATCATTGCTGGAAAGTTTCAGAGTTAAAGAATGCAGACATCCAGATCCAAGGAGCCAGAAGAGTGGCGCTAAAAGAGACCCTAATAAAAATTACTCCAAGGCATATCATAGTCAGAATGATGGATGCCATAGAGACACAATACTGCAAGCAGCAAGGTCAAAGAAGAAAATCACATGCCTTCTTGTCTCGGTCAGACCAATGATGTCGTACCTGATCTTTTGCACTTGTACCATCAGGTCCTTGATGGATGCATCGGATGCTAGAGTATGTGCATTGAAAGTACAGATGATCATTTTTGTCTTCCTTCGTTTTGGAAGCCTAGATAGGTCTTGAGATTTTATCAGCCTCACCTTTCTCATCCTTCTCAACACTGCCATATTGGTGATGGAATACTCTCGGTAGCTTGCCAGGCTCTCCGAGAGGGATAGAGGCTTTGGGAGCAGCCTCTAATCGCCCTTGTAGGTTTTCCCATGGTTCAAATCTACAGAATGGGAGAGGATATTCACCCAATACCCATCCGATGAGGGGTTGATATCAAGGATATACAAAGCACTGGTTGAACTCCACAAGAAGAAAACATCCAACCCTATCAAAAAATGGGGTGATCAAAAGGAGAGAGAGAACAAAAGGGAATGCCCTGCCACAGAGGCTGGGTGGGATGGGGATGGGATGGATACTGGGATCCATGGTGATGGAAAATGGGCGCTGGTGGAGGGACGGGTATTTGATCATTGTATAATCAAAACCCAAGCACAAAAATTTGTAATTCTACAACTGTACCTCATGGTGTTTCACTAATAATTTTTTTAAATGAAGTGATGAAATGAACAGAAACTTTCTCAAAGAAGAAATCAGAATGGCTAAAAGGCACATGATAAAATGCTCTAAATCATTAATCATCATGGAGATGCAGATCAAAACAACAATGAGATATCATTTCACACCACAGAGACTGGCCCACATACAAAAGAACAAAAGCAACTGGTGCTGGCGCGGCTGTGGCGAGAAAGGGACCCTCCTTCACTGCTGGTGGGAATGGTGACTGGTTCAGCCCTTTTGGAAAATAGTATGGATGATTCTCAAAAAATTAGAAATTGAGCTCCCATTTGACACAGCAATACCACTCCTTGGAATGTATCCCGGAGAGGCAAAAAAGTACAGTCGAAATGACATCTGCACTTCTCTGTTCATTGCTGCACTGTTCACAATAGCCAAAATCTGGAAAAACCCGAGTGCCTGAGAATAGATGACTGGTTAAAGAAACTTTGGTACATCTACACAATGGAGTACTATATAGCTGTTAGAAAAAAATGAAGTCATGAAATTTACATACAAGTGGTACTATATGAAAAGTATCATGCTAAGCGAAATGAGTCAGAAAGAGAGGGACAGACATAGAAAGATTGCATTCTTCTGGGGAATATAAAATAACAAAATAGGAGACTAACACCCAAGAATAGCCAAGATATGTACAGGAGGTTTGCTCTGTGGCTTGAAGGCCAACCACACATGCTTGGGGAAAAGGCAGCTCAGATAGAGAAGGGAGCACCAAGTAAAGGTTGTTGGGAGGATCTTCCCAGGATGGGAGATGCATGCTGAAAGTAGATTATAGACCGAACATGATTGCCACTCCCCTTTTGCAAACCACAGCACCCAAACGGAGAGAGAGAACAAAAGGGAACACCCTGCCAGAGAGGCGGGGTGGGATGGGAGGTATGGGGGTGGTTGGGAGGGATACTGGGATCATTGGTGGTGGAAAATGGGCACTGGTGGAGGGATGAGTGTTTGATCATTGTATAACTGAAACTCAAGCTCAAAAATTTGTAAGTCTACAACTATACCTCATGATTTTTCACAAAACAAACAAACAAAAACACTATCCTCCCATTGTTCATCGATTTGCTTGAGCGGGCCCAGTAACATCTCCATTGTAAGACTTGTGTTACTGTGTTTGGCATACCGAATAGGGCTCAGTAACGTCTCCATCATGAGACTTGTTGTTACTGTGCTTGGCATATCAAATACATCACGGGCAGCATGCCAGGCTTTGCCGTGCAGGTGAGATACTCTCAGCAGCTTGTTGGGTTCTCTGAGAGGGGTGGAGGAATTAAACCCGGCTCGACTGGGCTGGCTGCATGCAAGGCAAATGCCCTACCACTGTGCTATCACTCCAATAATAAAAATTTTTAAAAATAAATTTAAAAAATAAATAAATGACATAATATGAGACTGACACCCAAGGATAGTAGACACAAGGGCCAGGAATATTGCTCTGTGGCTGGAAGCCTGTCTCATGATCTGGGTAAGAGGGTAGCTGGAACAGAGAAGGGATCCCTAAGTCAATGATGATTGGAGGGATCATTCGGGATGGGAGATGTGCTCTGAAATTAGATAAAGGACCAAACATGATAAACTCTCAGTATCTCAGTAACCCAAAATTAGAGAGTATGGGGAAAATTGTCAGCCATGGATCAGGAAGAGAGTTGGAAAGGGGGTATACTGGGTACACTGTGGTAGAGAATGTGCACTTGTGGAAGGATGGGTGTTTGGTCATTGTGTGATTGGAACTCAAACATGAAAGTTTGTAATTGTATCCCATGGTGATTCAATTTTTTTAAAAAAGTGGAAAAAATACACTATCTATAGTTTAAAAAAAAAGTATCATGTAAACTCTTATCTCCTCTTTCCAGCTGAAAGGAATACCTCAAAAGATGCGGTCTACGGAAATTGAACAAATGCTTTCTAAATTTAACCTTCTCGAAAAATGTAATGTATATGCAAACACACTGAGTGGAGGAATGAAACGCAAAGTCTCCATCATTATAGCACTTTTAGGAGGCTCCAAGGTAAGACAATACAGATCGATATGTAGGGGCGTGAGTGCTCATACAGCGAATAAGGCGCTTACCTTCCACAAGGCCTACCTGGGTTTGAATTCGAGCATGACATATGGTTCCCCCAGCCTGCCATATGTGATACCTGAGCATAGAGCCAGAAGTAAATCCTGAACACCACCAGATGTGTTCACTCAAAACCAAATACATATATGTCAGATATATATGTATGTATATGCATATATGTTATATATAATGACATAGATTAGAGAGAGCAATAGAGATAGATGAGAGAAAATATAATTAGTTAATTTATTTATTTTGCCTTGGGGTCATACCTGGTGATGCTCAGGGGTTACTGCTAACTCTGCACACAGAAATTACTCCTAGAGGTGCTCGGGGGTCCATATGGGATGCTAGGGCAAGCCTGTGTTGACCACGTGCAAGGTAAATGCCCTAGCCACTGTACTCTGACTTTGGCCCCCCAAATAGATATAAATTAAAGAGAGTACTTAAAATGCAACTGATTTTTAAAAGTTCAGCTGACATAAATCTGACAACAGACAGATATGTTGGACCTAAAACTTGAAAAGGATCCTCATACATGAAAAGGAATCTTTCATAGAATTTGTGATTCATATCAACAAAGTTTGAATACAGAGCCACGGGTTTGGATTTAGTCATTTTTTGCTTAAACTTACCAATTAATGCAAATTAACTGAAAAGGTAAAAACATATTAAGCCTTATTAGAGAGCTAACTAATCTTTGACGATGGTCGTGTCGTTTTGTGTTTTAAGGTGGTGATACTTGATGAACCAACATCTGGTATGGACCCAGCATCCAGGCGGTCCACCTGGGATTTCCTTCAGCATCATAAACAGGGTCGGACAATCTTATTGACCACTCATTACATGGATGAAGCTGATGTCCTGGGTGACCGCATTGCCATCATGATCGAGGGATCCTTGAAGTGCTGTGGATCTCCAATTTTCCTGAAAAATGCATATGGTCTCTCAACTTTTGATTATTCTTCAGATACTAGTGCATTCACTGTCACTGTCCTCCCGTTGTTCATCGATTTGCTCGAGCGGGCTACGTCTCCATCGTGAGACTTGTTGTTACTGTGTTTGGCATATCGAATACGTCACGGGGAGCTTGCCAGGCTTTGCCATGCGGGCGAGATACTCTCGGTAGCTTGCCGGGCTCTCCGAGAGGGGAGGAGGAATCAAACTCGGGTCGGCCATGTTGGCTGCGTGCAAGGCAAACGCCCTACCACTGTGCTATTGCTCCAGCCCACTAATACATTATGTTCTAAAAAAATTTTCATGGATATTGATGTTATAGTAGTCTTCTAACATAATATTTTCTGTATAAAATACACCTCATATAAGATTGTTTTACACACACACGTATTTGGGTTTGAGGGGCCACAGCTTGTGGTGCTCAGGGATTACTCCCAGCTGTTTTTAATGGTATTGCCATACTATTTAATTGCTGTAATTATCTCATATAGTTTAAAATCCAGAATTGTGATGCTCAAAGTTTTGTGTTTTTCTCAGGATTTTTTTTTTATTCAGGGGTGTGTTGTGTGTGTATGTGTGTGTGTGTGCATCATTACATACTTACATTAGGAAAAAAGCTACTGGACATTTTAGAGAAATAATGTTCAAAAACATCTATTCTATAAAAAATATTCTTTTATTTATTTAAACCTTTTCTTTAATCAAGATCAGTTTTCAACATAGAGCTATTTCATTGTTTTGACTGAATTTATCTCTAAATGTTTTATTATTTTTGTTGTTATATAAAATTATTATCTTCTTTTACAGATAATAATAATCTTTATTATTAGAGCATATAAATTATACTTAATTTTGTGTCTTAACTTTATAATCCTGAATTACTAAATTTCTTGATTATACATAGAAATTAAGTCTTTAGGAATTTTTTTAATTCATTACTGTAATTTATATAAAATGGTTACAATATTATCGTAAATTGTTTTGATGAAGACATTTATTAAACTTTTTTGTTGTTAAGGCATCATGATTTACAAAATTGATTATAATACAGTTTCAGGGAAACAATGTTCCAACACCAGTCCCACAACCAAGGTAAACTTCCCTCAACCAGTGTCCTCAGTTTCCCTCCCACTCTCAACCAGTGTCCTAAATTGACTGCATTTGCACTATCTTCAAAGTTCCCCAGGGCTTGGGGCTGGAGCGATAGCACAGTGGGTAGGGCATTTGCCTTGCACGCAGCCAACATGGCCGACACAGGTTCGATTCCCTGCATCCCATATGGTCCCCCGAGCACCACCAGGAGCAATTCCTGAGTCCATGAGCCAGGAGTAATTAACCCCTGAGCATCGCCGGGTGTGACCCAAAAAGAAAAAAAAAACAAAAAAACAAAGTTCCCCAGGCCTTCCACCTCTGTCTCTGGGTGATCCTTAGGCTGCCCTTGCATCAATATTACCTTAGCATTTGAAGAGCAAGAGTTTGTCCTTAGAAAATACTGTTCATTGCCTTGTTTCATTTCTCTAAAAGCCACAAATGAGTGAGAGCATCTGGTATTTGTTCTTCTGCCCGATTTGGAGACAATGTTCCTTTGTTTTTTTTTTTTTATTCCCTTTGTATTCCTTCACTATTTGTTTCTTCGTGTATTCTGAGTTGATCTAAAGAAGATGTTGAGTACTTTACAAAGATTTCTCAGATTCTAAAAGAATATATTTTTATATAATTTTTTTACTAGACATTTAATACATGGTATATAGTATAGCACTGCACTGTCCTCCGGTTGTTCATCAATTTGCTCCAGCAGGCACCAGTAATGTCTCCATTGTGAGACTTGTTACTGTTTTTGGCACATCGAATACACCAAGGGGAGCTTGCCAGGCTCTGCTGTGTGGGCGGGATACTCTCAGTAGCCTGCTGGGCTTTCCGAGAGGGATGGAAGAATCGAACCTGGGTTGGCCACATGCAAGGCAAACGCCCTACCTGCTGTGCTATCACTCCAGCCCATTACATAGTATATAAAAATATATATAAAGTTACATATTAACACATTCATAATGTATACAAATATTTATATATTTATGTAATTTTATAATAATCTTCTAACACAATATTTTCTGTATATCTCATATAAGGTAGTTTTATGCCCCTTTTCTGTTCCATCGGTTGTATAGTTAACACATACTAATTTTATCTTCTACTATTTCAGTGCCAATATAACAAAAAGTTAATTAACAGAGACTTTTCATTCTTTTTGTGCTCTATCTGGATGATTGTAAAAGCTATTTATTATTACTCCCTAAGAAAGTTAATTGATAATACATATAAATGATTTATAGGATTGCCATTCTTTTTTAAACTCACCCAAATTATGGAAAGCTAGTATTGTCTCACAAGAGTAAGGGAGTTCAAATTTTATTTTATTTTTTTCTTTAAATGTATTTACTTAGGTATTGGATATCACATAATCATGGTGAAAGAATCACATTGTAATGTTGAAGAAATCTTCAAATTGATAGATTATTATATCCCAACAGCCACCTTGGAGAGTAATCTTAAATATGAATTGTCTTTTATGCTACCCAAAGAATACAGGCACAGGTATGGATTCATAGGATCTAAATGGCTGATTTTTCAGATGATCAAAAAAATCATTGTTATTTTCCAGGTTTATCGAATCTTAGCAATCAGAAACTCCAGTCATACTCCAATCATAACTCCAATCAAAACTAACCATAGCTTGCACTGGATAAGGGGGTGGTCTCTCTAGTAGATCCTGGTGTCAATTGATAATTGTATATTGTTAGTAATGTAAATTTTATCTGCAAAAGACAAAAAGTGGAGCAAAAGAAAGAATTTTGTAAAGGCTTAAATGGTGGATCTTAAGCAAATGTAAAGGTAAAAGGTAAAGGCCCTCCCGTTGATCATCGATTTGCTTGAGTGGGCCCAGTAACATCTCCATTGGAGAGTTTGTTGTTACTGTGTTTGGCATATCGAATACGTCACGGGGAGCTTCCCAGGCTCTGCCGTGCGGGCGAGATACTCTCGGTAGCTTGCCAGGCTCTCCAAGAGGGGCGGAGGAATCGAACTCGGGTCGGCCATGTTGGTTGCGTGCAAGGCAAACGCCCTACCGATATGCTATCGCTCCAGCCCCTAAGCAAATGTAACAAGATCTTTTAGGAAATAAGCAGTTTTACATTTCTGGTTAGCCAAATTTTTCATCAAATGATGATAATGAAAAAATAATGAGTAGCTTTACCTGATGAAAAGGAGAAATGGAAAATAGAATATTCATAACTGATTTTAAAAGTATGGCTTTTCAATTTTCTTGTCATATACATCTAAGTGCTTAATTTGATAGTACAAGACAGTCATTATATTATAGACTGTGTTAACTTCATTTCTGGGGAAAAGTGGGATGTATCAAAAAGAATAGAAAAAAAGCAACCATAACTGCATTGTTTGGCATGAAAAATTTTTAATCGTTTAAGAATAATATAATTCGAGATATTTCATCTTAGAAATACATGAGAGTTGACTTGTTCCAAAAACGTTCAAAGACTTAATCCAATGAATTGCTATGACCTGAGTGAAAGTTCAAAGTCTGTCCAAAAGAGACATCAAAATAAGAGGCATGACTCAATTCCTCTATTGCAAACCATAACACCCTAAAGGAAAGAGAAAGCAAAAAGGGAATGCCCTGCCACAAAGGCGGGGGTGGGGGGGTGGGAAAGTAGGAGGGCTACTGGGATCTTTGGTGGTGGAGAATGGGCACTGGTGGAGGGATAGGTACTCGATCATTGTATAACTGAAACCCAAGCGCGAAGGTTTGTAAGTCTACAACTGTACCTCATGGTCTTTCACTAATAAAAAAAAATATATAAATAAATAATAAAATAAGCCTTCCAAATTAGACCACCTGAATTGGACTTGTAATAAAAGAGAAACTCAATCATCTAAATAAATAAATAAATAAATAAATAAGGGAGATCGTTTCACACACACATAAAAAGAAAGAAAAATAACAGGCATGGTTTCTTTATACAGTCATCTGCTCTTGGACACAGGGGTTGTTATCGGATCAAAGTCAATCTGAAGGAGAGTGACTGATTTTGTTGGATATATCTCATATGTGGGATATAAAGGACCTCTTTCATATGTGTGATATAAAGAAACATAGTATGGGGATAATTATCCTGAGAACTGACCTGTAGAACTGAGCTTTATTAAGAGTGGAGTCTGGGAGTACTGGTGGTGTTGGTGGGCAGGAAGGAACCATGAGACTATGGTGGAGAGAAACACACCCTCTGGTGGAAGGTGGTATTAGAACGTTGTGTGCATGAAATTCTATCATTAATGTGTGTTGTAAATCACAAAATTTCAAGTTAAAAAAAAAACTTTTAAAAATAAGAAACAGTTATTTAAATACCATAGTGCTGGCCTATATAGATACAATTTGAAAAGAAATCAGAAAAAATTGCTAAGATGATCTGAAACAGAAAATGAAAGTTTTGAGAAGCAGAGTATTCTTATCATACTTCTTTGTATTCATATGCATAACTTTATATATATACATATATACATATATATATATATATATATATATATATATATATATCTCACCAAGCTCCCAGAAGAGAACAAAGCAGAGTCTCCTACCCCCGTGCCTGACTATCCTCACCAGGTGTGCGGGAGGCGGGGCTGAGATCTCCAAGTCTCCACAGTTTGGGACTGGGCCTTCCAGTAGCTAGACAGTTACACCCACCAACTGCCGTGTGACCCCATCAATGGCCAGGATCCATAGACTATAACACCAAGCTCCAAAGAGAACAAAGCAGAGTCTCCTACCCCAGTGCCTGACTGTCCCCACCAGGGTCCAACAGCTGAAGACCTTCAGGCCCCAGCCAAAGCCATGCTGAGACCACTCTCCACATGTTTGGATGAGCCTCACGCAAAAAGGAACCGGCAGAGGAACCCAGGTGTGCGGGACCAGGGGCTGAGATCTCCAAGCCTGCACGGTTCGGGACTTGGCCTTCCAATAGCTAGACAGTTACACCCACCAACTGCCATGTAACCCCATCAATGGCCAGGATCCAGAGACTATAACACCAAGCTCCTGGAAGCACGTGGCCGCATTCGCAGCCACGCAACTTCTTATTCTCTAATTCTCGCTCTCAGAGAACCTGTCAGGCTACCGAGAGTATCATACCAGCACATATGCCTGAATAGGAACACCTGTAAAGTTTATTTGTATTTTCAGGCTACCGATAATATCCCACCCACACGGCAGAGCCTGGAAGCTACCCATGGTGTATTTGATATGCCAAATCCAGTAAATACAATGGATCTCATTCCCCTGACTCTGAATACGGCAGCGTTGAGAAGGATGTGGAAGGAGAGGCTGATAAAATCTCAAGACCAAACTAGGTTGCCAAAATGAAGAAAGACAAAAATGACTGTCTGTACTTTCAATGCACGTATGCTGGCATCTGATGCATCCATCGAGGACCTGATAGTACAAGCGCGAAAGATCAAATACAACATCATTGGTCTAACCAAAACAAGAAGGCATCAATCACATCATGCCGTTTTCAACACTGGAGAAGAACTGTTCCTTGGAACATGCGACAAAAGAGGCGTCAGTGTTGTCGGTGTCCTTGTCAACACAAACTTAACCATGAGCATTGATTCATTCAAATGCCTAACAACCCAGATTGGACGATTACACCTGAATAGATGTGGCTCACTGCCAGCAGTTTCTATCTTTGTTGTCTACGCACCAACATCCAATTATGATGAAGGAGAAATTGAGAAGTTCTACATGGAGCTGGAGAAGTTCTATAAAGAAGACCACACCTTCTACAAGATCATAGTGGGTGATTTTAATGCCAAGATAGGACCAAGAAGATCAGCCGAAGAACTGCACATCGGGACCCATGGCCTAGAATGGAAAGAAAAGGGTGAGAGACTGTCTAAGTTCATCATGTCGACCAAGACCATCCATGGTAACTCACAGTTCCAGAAGGCCGAATCTAGACATTGGACATGGAAGTCTTCCGGTGGATGGTTCCACAATGAAATTGACCACATCATATTTAATCGACAGTTTTGTCTAACTGATGTTGCTGTTCACCCAAAATTCCAAATGGGATTGGACCACCATCTCCTTCGTGCAAAATTCTACTTCACAGAGCAGGGAGAAAGGAATGCAAAGTTTAAGAAGAGAACTCCCAGAATGATCACCAACTGGGAGCTCTTTGGCTCTGTTGCGGCAACATGGGAAGATGCCATCATTGACAACATTGAGGAATACAATCGACTGGTTCAGCACCTCCATGATTGTGAGAGGAACGCCAAGAGAGAGATAACCACAAAAAAAGCCTGTCTTTGAAAACTCTTGAGCTTATTCGCCAATGTGGCTTGGTACATGCCTCAGGCAACTGCAAGTGAATGTCAGAGCTCGCAAAACAGTGCAGAGAAGTGATCAAGGAAGACCTCAAAGAGAGAAGAGCAGCAGTGCTGGTAGATGCGGCAGCAGCCGGGAAAAGAATTCGCAACACCCACCTGTTCTTCGCCAACTACAAGACCAAGATGACTGCCCTCCGAAGTCCTGATGGATCTATCACATCCTCCAGAAGGGCAATGGAGAAGATTATTCATGACTTGTACTCGGATCTCTTTAGTAGCCACGTCCACTTGCCCACATACCAAATTCCACAGGATGGATATATCGTTCCCAATATTCTCCCTTCCGAAATCCGACACGCCATCTCGTTGGTAAAGAAACAAAGAGCACCTGGCCCAGACAAGGTCAGACCTGAACACCTGAAGAACCTACCATCAGTATTCATCAATACACTGGCTCGGCTCTTCACATGCTACCTGTCTGAATGCAAGGTTCCATCCCAATGGAAAACCAGCAGGACTGTACTACTGTACAAGAAGGGAGACATCCACGGCATTGGCAACTATCCCGCGATCTTCCTGTTGTCTGTCATCTACAAGCTGTTTACTCGAGTCATCCTGAATAGGATTGGCAGAACACTAGATGAAGGACAACCACGTGAGCAAGCCAGTTTCCAAAAAGGATTCAGTACAACTGACCATATCCACACAATAACCAAGCTCACTGAGGTTTCTCGGGAGTTCAAGATGCCGCTCTGTCTAACGTTCATTAATTTAAAGATGGCCTTTGATTCTGTTGAGACTGAAGTGGTTATCGAAGCCCTAGCCAATCAGGGCATTCAAACTCAATACATCAGGATCCTCTGTGAGCTGTATTACCGATTCACTACCAGGATCTCACCATTCTACGAGGAAGTGATCATCCCTGTCAAGAGAGGGGTCCGGCAGGGTGATACTATTTCACCGAAACACTTCAGTGCCACCCTCGAGAACGTCATGCAACGACTGGAATGGGAAGGAATGGGAGTGAAGATAGATGGTTGGCAACTACACCACCTCTGCTTTGCTGATAACATTGTTCTAATAACACCAAACATCAGCCAAACAGCACAAATGCTGGTCGACTTCGACCGTGAATGTGGAAAGGTCGGTTTACAGCTGAATCTCACAAAGACAATGTTCATGAGAAACAGTCTTGTTTCTGACGTTCCATTAACTCTCAATGGAACAACCATCTCCGAATGCAACAGTTACGTGTACCTAGGTCGAGAAGTCAACATGATGAATGACCTGGCACCTGAGTTGTGCAGGAGGAAAAGAGCGGCTTAGAATGCCTTCAAGAGCATCGAATGAATAACTAAGAGGACAAAGAATCTCCAGCTCTGAGCACATCTCCTCGATTCCACTGTTCTTCCTGCATTAACATACGCCTCAGAGACCTGGGCCCTACGAAAACAGGATGAGAACGCTATTTGGGTCTCTCAAAGAGGAATCAAAAGAGCTATTCTTAGAGTATCACACTTCACTCAAATGAGAGAGAGAATCTGGAGTTCTGACCTCCATCAACGCTCAAGAATCAGGGACGCTGTCTTGTTTGCCAAGGCATCGAAAATCAGATGAGCTGGACACATAATGAGATTTAGAGACAACCGCTGGACTAGAGCCATTACCGACTGGATTCCACAGGACATCAAAAAATTGCATGGACGCCCACCTACGAGATGGTCAGACTTCTTCACCAAGACCCTGAACGATCATTTTGCGGCTCTTTGTGTTCCTAGAACAAGCAGATGCCATTGGGCTACGCTAGCACGCAACAGGGATAAATGGAGACTTTACTGGCTCCCTCTCGAGCAAATTGATGAGTAATGGGATATCAAGTGATCAAGTGATTTTTATATATTTTTAATTGAGGGCAAATGTTTATCACCACCTCTTTTTTTCCCAAACTTCAAACTGTACTATAATGATACTAATCAAAGCATGCTGGTACTTACTCCCACAGCTAGTTTTCGTGGAAAGGGGTGATTGGATTGAGTTAATGTTAGCAGGCGTGTTTGAGGGCACCAACACCACTCCAGAGAGAGTGTCATGCAAGAGTCCAATGTGTGTTCACCATGGGATATGAAGGATGAATGTAGGGCAAACAACTGGCACACACCCGGTTGGGTTGTACAGTTCATCTATGATTCATTTATGTTTTAAATTTTAACTTTTTTATTGATTGAAGTTCTGTCATTAACAATACTAATGATGGTTTTAATGTGTATAATTCCAACACCACACCAATCACCAACATATCCACCTCCATCTCCCAAGAACACCAACACCTCTCCATTCCCACCCCTACCCCCATTTCAACAGTTCTCCCATTGTGTTGCCTTTGGCCTTTTACTGCTGTCTTGCTGTGTATCTTTAAATCCCACAGATAAGAGAGATTGTCCTGTATCTGTTCTTTTCCTTCTGACCGGTTTAATTCAGCATGATATCCTCTAGTTCTATTATGTTGTAGTAAATTCTATACACAATGGAGTGCCATGCAGTTTACTGGGAAGAAGAGAAACAATAACATGTGGTAAATTGTATGATATTCTACTATTACATATATCACAACTTCTGGAATTTGGGTTGTTTCCATATCTCAGGGCTTGCACTAAATACTGCAACGAACATGGCATGCGCACATATATCCTTTCTAATTAATGTTGTTTTTTAACTAGAGGTATATTTCAAAAAGTGGTATCATTGGGTCATATGGGAGTCCTATTCCTTTTTTTTTAGTCTGAGAGATCTCTGTATTGCTTTCCATAGAGGCTCAACCAGATGATGTTCCCACTAACAATGAATGAGGGTTTCTTTCTCGCCACAACTCTGCCAACACTACTTGTTTCCAGACTTTTTTTTGGCCTTTTTTTGGCCACACTAGGCAGTGCTCAGGGCCTACTCCTGGCTCGGCACTCAGGGATCACTTCTAACAGTGTTCAGGGGACCAAATGGGGAACAGAAGATCAAACCTGGTTGACAGCATGCAAACCTGGTTGATAGCATGACTGCTGAACTCTGGCCCATTGTTTCCAGACTTTTTGAATGTGCCATTCTCATTGTTGTGAAATCATAACTCAATGTTATTTTAATGTGCATTAATTTCATCATGAGTGAGAGTGAGCACTTTTTCATATGCCAGTCATATGCCATATAAGTCTTCCTTGGGAAAGTGTTGTTGTAGTATGTTGTATGTTGTATTATGTTGAGATATGTTCCATCTATCCTTATTTCAGAGGAATTTTTTCTCATGTATGGGTGTTGGATGTTGTCAAAATCTTTTCTCTATTGAGATGATTGTTATCTTTCTTTTTATTTACATAGGGTATTACACTAATTGACTTGAGTAAGTCAACCCATTTGTGTCCTTGGGATGAATCCCACTTGATCATGGGATTTTAAGCTTTTTGATAGATTGCTAAATTTGGTTTTCTAATATTTTGTTGAAGATCTTTGCATTGATGTTCAGGAATATTTGTCTGTAATATTTTTAGTAGTGTAATAGTTTTCTGTGTAATAGTGTCTTCATAGGAGTGACTAGGGAGAATTTCTGTTTACTCATTATTTTCAAATAGTTTGAGATGTATTGGCATTAAGTCTTTGAAGTTTTTGTAGAAGTCATTTGTGAATTCATCTAGATCTGGGCTTTTGTTTGGGGAAAGACTTTTAATTTGTTTCAATATCTTTACTCAGGATTGTTCTATTCAGGTTTTCTGTTTCTCTTGGTTCCATCTTGGGAGTCCATGTGATTCTAAGAATTTGTTCATTTCTTTCAGGTTTTCAAGCTTGGTGGCATAAAGTTGCTCATAGCAACCTCTTATATTTTTGTGTGTTTCTGGGGTGTCTGTTGTAATTTCTCCACTGTCATCTCTGATTCCATATAGTTGTTTTATTCTCTTTTCTTCTTAGAATCTAGCTAAGTTTTTGTTAATCTTGTTTACTCTTTAGAAGAACCAACTCCTGGATTTGTTGACCATTTGCATTCGTTTCTTACTTTCTGTTTCATTGATTTCCACACTTATAGTTATCCCTTTCTTTCCTCCTGGTATGCATTTGAATAATATAAACCTTCCTAATATTACTATTTTTGCTGTTTTCCATATGTTCTAAAAGGTGGTGCCTTTATTCTTGTTTGTTTCAAGAATTTTTTTTATTTCTTCTTTGATTTCATCTTAGATCCAATTGCTGTTAGCAAGATGTTCCTGGGGGTTTCCTGAGGGTTTTTTTGCAACTTTTTGTATGATTGATTTCTACTTTTATACCCTTGTGATCTAAGAAGATATGTGGTATGATCTCAGTTTTGTGATTTTGGAGGATGTTCAAGTTATGCCCCAGCATATTATCTGTCCTGGAGAATGCCCAATGTGCAGTAGAGTAGAATGTTTACTCAGTCTTTTGGAAGTGGAGGGTCCTGAATATGTCTATTAAACCCAGTTTTTTCCTGTTCCTCAATTAGTTTTCTTGCTTCTTTATCAATATTTTTCCTGGTTGATCAATTCTATGATGAGAGTAGTAGATCAAAGTCCCCCATTACTATTGTGTCAATAGATGTATTTTTTTCAGATGCCCCTTCATTTAGGGCATATATGTTGATGAGAGTTAAGTCCTCCTGTTCTATTGATCCTTTAGCCACTATGTAAAAAATCTTTTAGATTTTTTAAACGAACACTGTCCTCCCGTTGTTCATTGATTTGCTCGAGCGGGCCCAGTAATGTCTCCATTTTGAGATTTGTTGTTACTGTGTTTGGCATATTGAATATGCCGGGCTGGCTGCACGCAAGGCAAACACCCTACCTCTGTGCTATCGCTATAGGGATATTGTGTGTGTAATAGTATATCTTCTCTCAATTAGCTAGAATTTTTAGTGTATGAACTCTTTTGTGTTTATTGGAAAAACTAAAATTATGTTTCTCCAATAACAAAGTACAACACGAAGCAATTTGCTATAGCAATTTGCTAGTTTATTTCTTTCCATTTTTTTTTAATTTTCTTGGAGGGTGGGGCTTTGGGGCCACACCAACATGGGATTACTACTGGCTCTGCTCTCAGTAATTATCCCTGACCAGCTCAGAGGATCATATGGGATGCCAGGGATTAAACCTGGGTTGGCCGCATACAAGACAAATGTCTTATTGCTGTACTACTGCTCTGGCCCTGTTCCTAGTTCTTATTTGTCAAAGGTGTTATGTTATAATGAGCACTGAGATTAAGAATCATTTACATATTTCTTTCTGTGCAGGGGAAATAGTTTTGAATAAATATATCTATCCTAAGCTGGTCTAGTGTTTGCATTTACCTTTTGCCTTTTCCTCCATGCAATCATATTTTCCTCTTCATTCTTTCCTGTTCTTCTAGGTTTGAAGATCTTTTTACTGATCTGGAAAATAGACAGCAAGAACTGGGCATAGCCAGCTTTGGTGCTGCTAGCACTACTATAGAAGAAGTCTTCTTAAGGTGAGCAACAGGATAAATGTAAAAATAAAAACTTGGAGAGAAAGAACCACAGTTTTGTCTCCTTTTCTACATTACCTAAATTTCAAAATAACACCTAGAAATTTAAACTGTGGGAGCCATGGAATAGCTTGACAATTATTTTAAAATTAGAAAACTGATAAATATTATAACCATCATCTTGTTAAAGAATAGGGACCAGAGAAATAGTACAAAGGTTGAGATATTTGTGTAGCATCAGATTGAGGAAGTGGCCGTAACATGGATTAAAACCTGGCACCACATATGGTCCCACAAAGCATAGAGAGCAATGTATGACCCCAAACCCCAAAATTTAGGTGTTTTAACTTATTCTCAAATTATAAAATAACACTAATCTTTAACTTAGATGATTAGTGAAATGCTCGTTATAATGCCCTTGTTTTTGTACTAGGGTCAGTCAGGATTCATATGGCTGGATTTTAAATCACTGCTCTGTGCAGGTGACGTAGTCAGCGGTCACTTGCCTTGCATACAGCTAATCCAAGTTCTATCCCTAATATCACATATGGTCTCTGGAGAATCACCAGAAGTGATCCCTGTGCACGGAGCCAGGAATAATGCATGAGCATCCCTGAGTATGGTCCAATCTCCACCCCCCACCCAAAGAAGACCACTTCTTTACCAATTGCCATGTTACATCCATAAAATTCTTCTGCCAATCAATAAGCAAATTTAGGAAACATTTGAGTTTGCACCACATCAAGTTGAGTGTTGTGATTTTCAATATTTAAGCAAGATATTTTGGGATGGAGTTTAAATGAAATACTTTGTACTTTTTCATGCAGAGTCAATGCTATGGAGGATTTAGAAACTACTTCCAAATCTACCCAGTCTCAAGATCCCTCCTTGATTAATCAAATCTCAATCACGAGTGAGAGTAAATTCAGAAATGAGATGCCAGAGTCTTCCATAACAAATGAATATCCTGTTATCAGGTTTAACACTGGAGTAAGTTCTCATAAATGAATGTGCTTTTTTCACTTGGGGTGCAGAAGTACATTTTATTTTAATATTTGAACAACAGGAGTGTGAATATTTAATGCATACAGACTTGCGCATAAATAGAATGGTCTACAGTACATCAAATTTCCTTAATTTGGAGATGATGAGTTATTGGTGTAGATCTCGGCTCTTTCGCTTAAACTTGTGATTCTTTGGTTCATTTTTTTTTTCTTTTTTGGGTCACACCCGGCAATGCACAGGGTTTACTCCTGGCTCATGCACTCAGGAATTACTCCTGGTGGTGCTCAGGGGACCATAAAGGATGCTGGGAATCGAACCTGGGTTGGTTGTGTGCAAGGCAAACACCCTACCCGCTGTGCTATTGCTCCAGCCCCTCTTTGGTTCATTTTTTATTCATAACTATGTTTGTTTTTAATTGGTAGCCCACAAATTTGTTGGATCTTTAATTCTAAAGAATTGTAAAATGAATAGAATTTTCAGTATTTTTTATAATAATTCAGTCTTACAATCTTTGCAGTTTTGCCACAAAAACTGCTATTATTGAAGTAATCATCACTTAAAGACATGATCTTCAGTATAGATTGTCTATTTGAATTTTCATTTTCTTTTCAGTTTTTATTTTTTATTCAATTTTTTCTCAAGTAACTTGTCATCTGAAAAAGAAAATCTGTTTTTTTTAACATTCAGGCTTCCAAGAAAAAATAATTTTAACATTTTAAGAGCATATACCAAAAACCAAACTTAAGCATTTTAATACCTTAGAGCTATGTTCAGCAACATACATTTAAAAGTGATCATTTGTATATCATAAAAATAATCACTTGTATTTAATATGTTCTTTGTTTTTATGATGCTGATTAGAAAGAGCTTTGGGGTCTTATATTTTGTAAGGAGAATGACTATCCCCTATGTTAAACCCCTCTTTGTAGAGGCATACTTTTATTAGGGATTGGGAAAAGGGGATGACTTTTCAGGATTTCAACACCAGAGTTTTCAAACTTTGGAAATTCTGGTCTTCAGGTTTCTGGAGTTAGAGATGATCTCTTTAAGGACAGCAATCAGTAACTCCACAGCAATTGCTCGACCTTGCCAGTTTTCTCCCCCAAACAATTTAACACTAAGAAATAAACAGGCTTATCTATGTTCTTATTCTTTTATCTTTTTCTTTCTTTTTTTTTTTTTGCTTTTGGGGCGACACCCAACGATGCACGGGGTTACTCCTGGCTCTGCACTGAGGAATTACTCCTGGAGGTGCTCAGGGGACCATATAGGATGCTGGGAATCAAACCCAGGTCAGCCGGGTGCAAAGCAAACGCCCTACCCGCTGTGCTATCACTTCAGCCCCGCTTATCAATGTTCTAATCCAACTCTTTTATACAAAACCAGATCATAGTTTGTTCACTCCTGCCTTATACAAACAAAAAGTTGATGGTAACTAACAACCCAATATGCTATTGTGCTAAGATTATTTTTCAAGTATGCATATGCCTATAACAAATTTTATATGTATAAATTTTTTATGTAATAAAAGTTCAAAGTATTCATCGCAATAAGCCTCAACATGAATGACCTAGTCACACCTTTGAACATTGTAATGCTGTTTCTCTCTCCACTTTCTAGTGCTTTCTCTGTAGTCAGCAGCTCTGGGCTTTGTTCATCAAGAAGATGATGTACAACTGGCGCAACTGGAAAATGCTTTTGCTACAGATACTGGCGTTTCTAAGTTCATTTATCATTCTCTCAGCATCACAAAGACATTCACATAATTATTTGGATAAAAATCCCAGAGAAATGGATTTGAATGAATATGGTGAAACCATTGTGCCTTTATCTCTTATTGGGAATGAAAATTTTACTGAATTTATTGAGGTTCTTGAGAAAACTCTTCAGTCTAACAACCATAAACTTGTGGTAGTGCAAGGCAAGTAAGGCTCATTAAGGAGAAAAATCAACTCCTGTAGGAGGAGATCTGAGTGGATCACTTTACAGAGTTTCTTCCCCCCTTCTCCCCTGAAATAGTCACCCCACCAGTACGAATTTCAAGGAGAGAGCTTGAAAAATACAATAGACTAACCCCAGAGTTACCTATTTTAAATTTTCACATTGTCCTTGTTAGCTAAATACATAATAATATATGTATAATAAGGTCTTGGTCAGTTCTACTTTCTTTAAAGAATCATTAAGTTGTACTCTTGAAACTTTATTAAATAATATTCTTAGTTGCAGAATTTTTTAAACACTTTATTTAGTTTAGTTTTTTGGGTGACACCTGACGGTGCACAGGGGTTACTCCTGGCTCTGCACTCAGGAATTACTCCTGGCGGTGCTGAGGGGACCATATAGTATACTGGGGATCGAACCCAGGTCGACCACATACAAGGCAAACACCCTACCCACTGTGCTATCGCTCCAGCCCCCAGTCGCAGAATTTTTTATTGCTAAATTCTTATTCTTTTTTCTGTGCCAAAGATGGATTCCAAAGTCTCAGACATGCAAGATAGCGTGCTCTAATACTGTGCTACTTGTATGGCCCTGAATTCTAATTTTTGTTTTGTTTTGTTTTGTTTTTTTGGGGGGGGTCACACCTGGTGATACACAGAGGTTACTTCTGGCTCATGCATGCACTCAGGAATTACTCCTGGTGGTGTTCGTGGGACCATATGGGATGCTGGGAATTGAATCCGGGTTGGCCGCAAGAAAGGCAAATGCCCTACCCACTGTGCTATCGCTCCAACCCTCTGAATTTTATTTTGAAGGCTACCGCCACCCACTGTGGTGACTGGGGTTGAAACCAGGTCGTCCCATATGCGAGACAAATGTTCTACCATTAAAGCTGCATCCTCTACCTCCGAATTCTTCCAATTTCATATGATGTATCTCCATTACAAACTGTCCCTTTCATTAACATCCTTAGGAGTTAAAAAATGATAGTAAATATCCTTTTACCCAAACTTTGAAATGTTTGCATTTTTGAAATATTATATTTATTATATTTATGTTTATATAATATGATAAACATTTTTCAAATCTATATGTGAGGAAATACATTTGAAAACAATTTTCCATATCAAACAGTCTTCCCAAATAGTATACGCATTGACACTGGGGAAATTTATTTTTTAGGTACAGCTATGAAATAAGTAAATATGAACTGTACACTAGATATCCTACCCCAATAATTACTGATAAATGCCACCTGCTTTCCCAAGGCAAATTAATCATTTCCTCTTAAGCATAAGTTAGATGAATTCCATTTTTGTGGACTTTATCTCAACCACATCGTACATCATTCAACCAGCATTGCACTATAGCTCTGCTCTCCCATTGTTCATCAATTTGCTCTAGCAGGCACCAGTAACACCTCCATTGTGAGACTTGTTACTGTTTTTGGCATATTGAATATGCCACGGGGAGCTTGCCAGGCTCTGTCAATAGTTCATCTATCTTTCAATAAATGTAGGCAAATGGAGACGTTACTGGGCCCGCTCGAGCAAATTGATGAACAAGGGGAGGACAGTGACAGTGACAGTGACAGTGCATAATTTATTTTATAGAAACTGACCCAATCTTTGTCCCATAATAAGCACACATGACAAACATTTGAAATAATCATTCTGAGAAAACAAAAGTTTGAGAACCAAGTACATTTTTTTCTCTACCCCAACACATAGCATATATAATCTGCATAGATTGATCAATATTTTCTCATCCTAGGTGACATGCTGCAGTACTTGCTAAAAAATGAAGACTGTATACTCATGTGCATTGTTGCTCTTATCTTGGAAACACGTAATTCAACTGTAGAACTTACTGCTCTATTTAATAATGAAGCATATCATTCTCCAGCAGTATCTCTGTCATTGGTACATGACATACTGTTCAAGTTAAATGCTCCTGATCCTGATACTTCTTTAACAGTTGTCAATAAACCTCAGCCAAAAATTTATGAAAAAGAAAGAATTTCACTGTATGTTGTTCTTTGAATCAGAATGAACTTTAAACTTTAAATGCATTTATATCACCCTGTCTGATTACATAAACTTTTTCTTTTAATTATCCATAGAAATTTGTGTTTTCTAAGTTGACGTTCTGGTATATCTACTTTTGTTGCCTGTTATTCAGGACGACAACTGGAATAGAAGTGGTGCTAGATGTACATTTTGGGATGGCTTTCTTGATGAGTGGATTTTGCCTTCTGTCAGTGACTGAGATGGTCTCTAAAGCAAAGCACATACAGTTCATGAGTGGCGCTTCCATCCTCATCTACTGGTTTTCTGCTCTTCTATGGGATTTGATAGTTTTCTTTATGACTAGCTGCCTATTAATGGTGAGTGTTAGATGAAGTTTTTGTAGGCCCCCTTTTCATAGTGCTAGATGAAGTTTTTGTAGGCCCCCTTTCCTTTTATTCCACATGGAGAATACCTCTTTTATTATTATATCATAAACATAACTGCAAATTCACCCTTTATTATCTTAAAATATTACAAAAATCTCATGGCAGAAAAGAACTCTAATCTTCCTTTATCAGAGAAAAATAGCTTTTAAAAAATTTAAGTACAAAGACCTCTCATGGTGGGGCTGGAGTGATAGCACAGTGGGTAGGGCATTTGCCTTGCATGCCGGGTTCAATCTCAGCATCCCATATGGTCCCCTGAGCACTGCCAGGAGTGATTCCTGAGTGCAGAGCCAGGAGTAACCCCTAAGCATTGATTGGAGTGTGATCCAAAAAGAAAAAAAAGACCTCTCATGGGACTGGAGATGTTATAGTGGATAGGGCGCTTTCCATGTACACAGCCAACCTGAGTTTGATCCCCAGCAGCACATATGATATGGTCCATGAGCACCATCAAGCATAATCCCTGAGGGCAGAGTCTAAGTAAGCCCTAGGCTCCTCGTGTGACCCAACCAACCATCCCAAAAAAAGACCTCTCATGAAATAGCTTTCAGTTTATTCGGAATGGCTTTCAGTTTATTCAGAAATAGTGTTTTCATCAGTGCATGGTGATATTCCAAAACCCTCAACAAAGGTGGAAAGGTACATATTTATCATTTTCCATTTTATACAGTCTTGTCTGGTTTTTCATCTACTAGTGTTCTAATGATATTACAGTCAGTTTCTCTTTAAGTTCTCTACATTAATTTATTAACGTATTAATAGTGTTATTATCCAGAATTCAAAATTATTCAGAATTATTTGGGATTCAGTGTGTGGTTTGTTCCTAAATCTGAATAATGGTCTTCCTGCTACTGAATTTCCCAAACAAATGAATCCTACTCAATATTACTATTTTAAAGCTAATCTATTTATGTTAAAAGTAAAGAGCAATAGAAATAACTATAGTTACTCTAATTTATCAAATACATTACAGAGGCAACTTATGACAAAAATTATATAATATAAGTATAAAATATAATATTAAAAAGTAAAGAAGTGGAGCAAAATATGAGAACAAATGTTTCTAATAAAAACTATTTTCTTAGTTTTATAAGCTAAATATTGTCATTTTATCATATTACTATAATAAAGTACATAACATTTATATTTTCAAACCAAGAACTAAATCTTTCATCTATTTCCCTAATATGTTCATTTATTCTAATTGAGATATAATTGGCACACATAATGATTTGATATTTGTGTATATTATGAAATGATACTCACCATAAGGCCGATTATCATCTGTTATCTCAATATTTTCCTGTTATGAAATCCACTCTCAGAAAATTTAATAATAATAATAGTGTTTTTATTTGTTTTTCACTCATGGTTGATGATGATCAGATTGAAACTCACCTTGGGTCTCCCTAATTTTTTGCTTTACTGCTTGACTTTACTTTAATTTGAATAAATTAGAAAGAAATCTTTGAATTTATATAGGAGTGAAGGAGCAGAATATAAGAAACTGGAAACTAGGTGTGTAAGTTATGCAGCCAAAGGAAAGTCTAATCTGCTAAAGCTATTAGATTTATTTGTGTAAAGTATTTCAGACTTTGTAACTTTATAAGGTAGTTATAGCGGTCATATGCTCTCTAGACTGTTCTTTGGTTTAGTTCATGCTTCTATCCAGGATAATTTAAGGATGCAATTTTATATCATTAAAGAATATCTCTATGAAAATAAAGGTAAAGTATAAAAATAAAGGTAATGCTCCTGTAAATATTCTATAATTATTTTTTGCATTAATCCTTCACCTTTTTTGTGTTTTGCATGCTTTTACAGGTGGTGTTCCTATGCCTTGAGTTGAACATTTATGTCCAGAATTACCGATTTCTGGATACAGTGCTGATCTTCACCATGTATGGCTGGTCAGCCATTCCCCTCATGTACCTGATGGGCTTCCTATACAATCATAGTGGTCAAGCCTACACCAATCTGGTCCAATTTAACTATTTTTCAGGCATTTTCACTAACCTTATAGATATTATGTTGCATTTTGGTAAGTGTAAGGGCTGAATATAATGAATGTCTTCTTTATTAGACAATAACAAAATATTCACTGTCACTGTCCTCCCATTGTTCATTGATTTGCTCGAGCGGGCCCAGTAACATCTCCATTGTGAGACTTGTTGTTACTGTGTTTGGCATATCGAATACATCAAGGGGAGCTTGCCAGGCTTTGCCGTGTGGGTGAGATACTATCCTGCTCTCCGAGAGGGGCGGAGAAATCGAACCTGGCTCAGCCAGATAGGCCCCGTGCAAGGCAAACACCCTACTGCTGTGCTATCCCTCCAGCCCAACAAAAAAATAAATAAAAATAAGAGGGCCAGAGAGGTACTACAGTGGGTCAGGTGCTTGCCTTGCAGGTGGCTGACCCAAGTTCAATACCTGGCACATCATATGGTCTGGAACCCATTTGTTCCCCTTATCTGCTACCCAAGTTCAATACCTGGCACATCATATGGCCTGTCTCATGAGCTGGGGAAGAAGGCAGTTGAAATAAAGAAGGGATCACTAAGACAATGATGGTTGGAAGAATCATTCTGGATGGGAGATATGTGCTGAAAGTAGATAAAGAACCAAACATGATAGCCTCTCAGTACCTGTATTGCAAAACATCATGCCCAAAAGTAGAGAGAAAGTATGGGGGAAGTTGTCTGCCATGAAGGCAGGGGGAGAGTTGGAAAGGGGGGCTAAGGAACACTGGGAACATTGGTGTGGAGAATGTAAACTGATAGAGGGATATGTGTTTGATTATTATGTGATTGAAATTCAAACATGAAAGCTTTGTAACTGTATTTCAAGGTGATTCAATTAAAAAAAAAACCTTCACAAATCTCTGGCAGGAAAAATATCTCATTTCTACTCTCAGTGACTGTACGTGGAGTTCTTCTCCTGCCAAAACAGAGCATCCCAGTCATTCCACTCTCTTCTGAGCCAGTTGGTTGATTACACCCTCATCCTTCTTAGTAAACTTCAGAATTTTGAGTAAAATGTGTATCCATCTTTATTCAACTTTTATCTTTAAATGTGTTGTCACTTAATGTTGTGGTACTTTCAGATGCTGTGAAGAAAAGGAAAAATGGAAAGGAAATTTAAGTTCTTGTGAAAAACCAAAAATTTTTCTCTATGAAGTTTTAGAGGCAGCACTTCTTTCCCTATTTAATGGAAAGGAACAAACTATTAAGTGCCCCTAGCTGGTCTAAGAAGAATAAAAACTAAATTGTTCTGATATCCTCAAAACTCGACCAAATTTTCCTCCTTTAAGGCCTGTCAAAATTCTTCTAATATTTTGGGGGTAAAGTCTCTAGTGATTGTTACTAAGAATTTTTCAAAAGCTAAAAGATAGTCCTCCTTGTGGCAAAATTCTACAAGCAAAGCAAAGTTTCCATTCCTCATACCCTTAGCTATTTGGCTGTTATAAAATAATTCCCAGAAAAACCCTTTTAAAAGTGACTACTCTATATGATTAAGACTTAAGACTCTGCATAGCAGGAAATAAAACTTGTAAGAGCTATTCTGTAGCATTAAGTCTCAGTAAACAGTTCAAAATATGAATCTGTCTATATATTTTTGCTGGGGTTGAGGGGAGTACGTACACTAGCATCAGATACATCCATCGAGGACCTGATGGTACAAGCGCGAATGATCAAGTACGACATCATTGGTCTGACTGAGACAAGAAGGCACGAATCTCACCATGCTGTTTTTGACACTGGAGAAGAATTGTTCCTCTGAACATGCGATAAAAGAGGTGTCGGAGGCATCGGTGTCCTTGTCAACACAAACTTGGCCAAGAGCATTGATTCATTCGAATGCCTAACAACCCGAATCGGACGTTTACATCTGAATATATGTGGTTCACTGCCTGCAGTTTCTATCTTCGTTGTCTACGCACCAACATCTCATTATGATGAAAGAGAAATCGAGAAGTTCTACATGGAGCTGGAGAAGTTCTATAAAGAAGACCACACCTTCTACAAGATCATCGTGGGTGATTTTAATGCCAAGATAGGACCGAGAAGATCAGCTGAAGAACTTCACATCGGGACCCATGGCCTAGAATGTAACAAACAGGGTGAGAGACTGTCTGAGTTCATCATGTCGACCAAGACCATCCATGGTAACTCACAGTTCCAGAAGGCAGAATCTAAACGTTGGACATGGGAGTCTCCCGGTAGACGATTCCACAACGAAATAGACCACATCATATTCAATCGACGGTTTTGCCTGATCGATGTCGCTGTTGTCCCAAAATTTCGAATGGGATCGGACCACCGTCTCCTTCGTGCAAAATTCTACTTCACAGAGCGGGGAGAAAGGGCTGCAAAGTTCAAAAAGAGAACTCCCAGAACGACCACCAACTGGGAACTCTTTGGCACTATTGTGGCAACATGGGAAGATGCCATTGTTGACAACATTGACGAGGAATATGATCGACTGGTTCAGCACCTCCATGAATGTGCGAGAACGCCAAGAGAGAGATAGACACAAAAAAACGCCTGTCTTCGAAAACTCTTGAGCTAATTCGCCAGCGTGGTTTGGCGCATGCCTCAGGCAACCGCAAGCTAATGTCCGAGCTCGCAAAGCAGTGCAGAGATGCAATCAAAGAAGACCTCAAAGAGAGAAGAGCAGAAGTACTGGTAGATGCGGCAGAAGCTGGGAAAAGTATTCATAATGCCCGCCTGTCCTTCGCCAACTGCAAGACCAAGATGACTGCCCTCCGACGTCCTGATGGATCCATCACATCCTCCAGAACGGCAATGGAGAAGATTATCCATGACTTCTACTCAAATCTCTTCGATAGCCATGTCCACTTGCGGACATACCAAATTCCACAGGATGGATATGTCGTTCCCAATGTTCTCCCTTCTGAAATCTGACACGCCATTTCGTCGGTAAAGAAACAGCACCCGGCCCAGACAAGGTCAGACCTGAACACCTGAAGAACCTACCATCGGTACTCATCAATACAGTGGTTCGGCTCTTCACTCGCTACCTGTCTGAATGCAAGGTTCCGTCCCAGTGGAAAACCAGCAGGACCGTACTACTGTTCAAGAAGGGAGACATCCATGACATTGGCAACTATCGACAATCTGCCTATTGTCTGTCATCTACAAGCTGTTCACTCGAGTCATCCTAAATAGGATTGGCAGAACACTAGATGAAGGACAACCATGCGAGCAAGCCGGGTTCCGCAAAGGATTCAGCACCATCGACCATATCCACACAATAACCAAACTCATTGAGGTTTCTCGGGAGTTCAAGATGCCGCTCTGTTTAACGTTCATTGATTTAAAGAAGGCCTTTGATTCTGTTGAGACAGAAGCAGTCATTGAAGCCCTAGCCAATCAGGGCATTCAAGCCCAATACATCAAGATCCTCCGTGAGCTGTATTGCGGATTCACTACCAGGATCTCACCATTCTACAAAGAAGTGATCGTTGATGTCAAGAGAGGGGTTCGGCAGGGTGATACCATTTCACCAAAACTCTTCAGTGCCACCCTCGAGAACATCATGCGACGACTGGAATGGGAAGGAATGGGAGTGAAGATAGATGGTTGGCAACTACACCACCTCCGCTTTGCTGATGACATTGTTTTAATAACACCAAACATCAGCCAAGCGGCACAAATGCTGGCCGACTTTGACCGTGAGTGTGGAAAGGTAGGACTATAGCTGAATCTTACAAAGACAATGTTTATGAGAAACAGCCTCGTTCCTGATGCCCCATTCGCTCTCAATGGAACGACCATCTCCAAATGCAACAGCTATGTGTACCTAGGTCGAGAAGTCAACATGACAAATGACCTGGCACCCGAGCTGCGCAGGAGGAAGAGAGCGGCTTGGAACGCGTTCAAGAACGTCGAAGAAATAGCTAAGAGGACGAAGAACCTCCAGCTCCAGGCACATCTCTTTGATTCCACTGTTCTTCCTGCATTAACATATGCCTCAGGGACCTGGGCCCTACGCAAACAAGATGAGAACACTATTCAGGTCTCCCAAAGAAGAATAGAAAGAGCTATGCTTGGAATATCACGTTCCACTCAAATGAGAGAAAAAATCCGGAGTTCTGACATCCGTCAACGATCAAGAATCAGGGACGCTGTCTCATTTGCCAAGGTGTCGAAAATCAGATGGGCTGGTCACGTAATGAGATTTAAAGACGACCGCTGGACTAGAGCTGTTACTGACTGGATTTCACAGGATGTCAAAAGACCGCGTGGCCGCCCACCTACCAGATGGTCAGACTTCTTCGTCAAGATCATGAACGATCGGTTTGAGGCTCTTTATGTTCCCAGAGTGAACAGATGCCATTGGGCTACACTAGCACGTGACAGGAACAAATGGAGACGTTACTGGCACCCGCTCGAGCAAATCGACGACTAACGGGAAGTTAAGTGATTAAGTGATAAGAGGGGAGTGAGGGAAGTCCTCGAGACATCGGTCAAGGGAAGAGAACGTTTTGGTAGTGGACATGATATTGGAAACTTATTTATAATATTGTAAATCACTGTTGAGAGGGAAAAAAACAAGAAAAGTGTTTTGAAGGAAAGTTTCAAAGTATTTTGTACGTTAAGAATACAAAAAAGAAGTAACACTTTAGATTTGGATCTCAACAAAGATTTCCACTTTTTTAGAAGCAGAGCTAACACTGAATCGTTGTCTGTGTGTGTGTGTGTGTGTGTGTGTGTGTGTGTGTGTAGCCATATAGTTTTTATTGCAGCTTGCTTAGATGTGAGGAAAGAGAAAGAGAGGAAGTGCATGTTCAAGAGAAAACACAGCCTTTTTCCATAGTAGAAAAAGTAAAAAGATAAGCAAGTGGGTCTTGTGAGCGAAGGAGAACACTGGCTTGAAGAGCAAGTCCCCAAATAAATTTTTTAAGTACTGAATAGATAGAGACCAGCAATGACGTAGAAATAGCATGCCTTAAAGGTAACTTTAAACCTAAATTGTTGATAACATTTAGTGACCTCAATTTTTCATTTCCATTTGCAAATAGGTCAGAATAAAAAGCATAGAAGTACAACAAATGTTTATTAGCGTTCATATCCCATAATAAAACCAAACCTTCACTTTCTCTTTTTTTTTTCAGAAGTTCAAGGTCTCTTACCAAATTCCACCAGAAAATTCATACTTAAATCATTAACGATCTTTCCAAATTACAACCTCGGAAAGTGCCTTAGTAATTATTTTGATTTCTACCAGATGGTGTTAATTTGCTCACTTAAAAAGCCTTCTGCCGCTTGTGAGGCCATAAGTAAGTATTTTCGGGAATTCTGAACTGTTAAAAAATTAACCTTAAGCTCGACTCATGAGACCTATGAAGAATCTGCCCATATTTCAAAGCATAGAATCAAAACACATGTTAGCATATGAAAATAATTTTATGAACCTTGATAGCCATTGTAAATATTATAAATCCTTAAAATAAGATCCTGTATAAATTTAAATTATTAAAGGGCTGGAGCCATAGCACAGCGGGTAGGGCGTTCGCCTTACAAGCGGCCAACATGGCCGACCCGAGTTCGATTCCTCCGCCCCTCTCGGAGAGCCCGGCAAGCTACCGAGAGTATTCGATATGCCAGACACAGTAACAACAAAGTCTCCAATGGAGACGTTACTGGGCCCGCTCGAGCAAATCGACGATCAACGGGAGGGCCTTTACCTTTTACCTTTACCTTATCAGGTATAGAAATAAAGATTTATAATAATTAACCATATGTTAACTCTATTTACTTTATTAGAAGTTTACTTCCCATAAGTTTATTTACTCTGAGTTCATACTTACATACCTCATATTATCTGTTTCTATGATGGTTTTTAGGACAATGGTTATGTGCTGTGTACTGTGTCTTTCACAGACTTTTGTGAATAAAATTTTTGTGAAATTCAAGGCTTACATTCTTACCCAGCACTGCTACTTCTCAGTACTGAGTGACAGATCTCTATAGCCAATACACAGCTCATCTACACTAAAATGACCTTTTTAAAAAATTGAATACCATGATTTACAAAGTTGTTCATAATACAGTTGCTTCAGGCGTTCAATATTCCTTTTTTTTCCTTTTTGGGTCACACCCAGCAATGCTCAGGGGTTACTCCTGGCTTTGCACTCAGGAATTACTCCTGGCAATACTCAGGGGACCATATGGGATGCAGGGAATCGAACCTAGGTCAGCCGCATGCAAGGCAAATGCCCTACCTGCTGTGCTATCGCTCCAGCCCCCAGGCGTTCAATAGTCCAACACCAATCCCACCACTTCTATGAACTTTCCTCCACCAAGGTCTCTAGTTTTCCATCCGCTCCCCAAACCTGCCCCCTTAGCAGGTTCAATTTTATTTTATATTGCTTGGAGCAATAGCACAGTGGGTAAGGCGTTTGCCTTGCATTCAGCCCACCCAGGTTCGATTCCTCCGCCCTTCTTGGAGAGCCCAGCAAGCTACCGAGAGTATCTCGCCTGCATGCCAAAACCTGGCAAGCTCCCCATGACATATTCGATATACTAAAAACAGTAACAATAAGTCTCACAATTTATTGTGAGACATTACTGGTGCCCGCTCAAGCAAATCAATGAACAATGGGAGGACAAAATGGCAGCTGTAATCAGAAAATAGATCAATAAACATCTTGTGATGATTGCTTTATCTCACAATGGTGTTATTAAAAGTCACTGTCTGAGGATTTACTGAGCTGGTTGGTGCTAGTTGTTGTTTTTATTCATTGAGCTTGGTTTTCTCCACAACTTTCCCACCGCATTTGCCATGCTCTTATTGGACTGTCAGCATTAGAAAATTTGGGTATGTATGTGATTGTGCAGCCTCATGCTCCAGCAGAATTGAAAATCTATAAAAGTAAACACATGCATTTTTTGCTGCAGTTAATTTGCAGCAAATGAGTCAAGTTTATATAGAGATTGGGAAGTTTCTTTTGCAAGAAACTAGAGAAAAAACTAAAACTAGACCAGTACTTCACACAAGACACAAAAATTATTTCATAGTAGGTTAAAGACTTGCATGTAATTCCTAAGACAAGCAGAAGTAAATGCCTTCCATAATATTAGCTTCAGTGATGTCTGTCTTTGGGAACCCCACTCTGGCAAGGGAAGTAAGCAAAGAAATAAAAAAGAATTTGGCTTATAGGAAAGAATCAGAAAACTAAAAGAAAGTCAGTAAAATGGAAATACATGCTACTGAATGGAAAATGTACTTGCAAATCATAATTCTGGAAAGAGATTCACTGTCACTGTCCTCCCGTTGTTCATCAATTTGCTCAAGCACGCCCAATAACATCTCCATTTTGAGACTTCTTGTTACTGTGTTTGGCATATTGAATATACTCTCAGTAACTTTCCGAGCTCTCCGAGAGGGGCGAAGGAATTGAACCCTGCTTGGCCGGGCTGGCAGCATGCAAGGCAAACGCCCTACCGCTGTGCTATCACTCCAGCCCTGGAAAGAGATTTATACCTAAAATATAGAGAGTGCTTATAAACTCAACACTAAGTAATAACTGCAACCAAAAAACTGGTCAGAAGAACCTATTTTTTAAAAAGACATAGACAGAGGCCAGGCCCTTCCTTTCGGTAGCCTCTGCCGCTGAAGTTGCATATGCCAGGTCACTCTGCCATCTGGAGATGCGCTACATTGCCTAATACCTGCTGGCCACCCTTGGGAACAACCCATCCCCTAGTGCCAAGGACATCAAGAAGATCCTGGACAGCATGAGCATGGAGGCTGATGACCACAGCCTCAACAAGGTCATAAGTGAACTGAGCGGGAAACTGGTCGCCCCAAAAGCCTCCAGCCCCCTTGGAGAGCCCAGCAAGCTACTGAGAGTATACCGCCCACATGGCAGAGTCTGGCTAGCTCCCTGTGGCGTATTCAATATGCCCAAAACAGTAAAAATAACAGGCCTCATTCCCCTGACCCTGAAAGAGCCTCCAATACGGCAGCGTTGGGAAAGACGAGTAAGGAGAGACTGCTAAAATCTCAGGGCTGGGATGGATGAAGATGTTACTGGCGTCCATTCAAGTAAAAGCGATGACCAACGGGATGACAGTGATGCAGTGACAGTGAAAAATCAAAGCAATGTGGTTAGCATGTATGCCAAAGACCCAGAAACAACAATTGTGTCCTTGTTAATTTTATATCTGGTTGTTCTGTCCTTTTGAGAGAGTGTCCACTTAGAACTTTTGCTCCCTTTGTTGTTTTAATTCACAGAGCAGGGATAAAGGGCTGCAAAGTTTAAGAAGAGAACTCCCAGAACTGGGAGCTCTTTGGCACTACTGCAGCAACATGGGAAGATGCCGTCGTTGACAACATTGACAAAGAATATGATCGACTGGTTCAGCACCTCCATGATTGTGCAAGGAATGCTGAGAGAGAGAGAGAGAGACAGAGACAGAGAGACAGAGAGCCACAAAAAACGCCTGTCTTTGAAAAACTCTTGAGCTCATTCACCAATGTGGCTTGGCGCACGCCTCAGGCAACCACAAGCAAGTGTCTGAGATCGCCAAAGCAGTGCATGTGGCTTGGCGCACGCCTCAGGCAACCACAAGCAAGTGTCTGAGATCGCCAAAGCAGTGCAGAGATGCCATAAAAGAAGACCTCAAAGAGAGAAGAGCAGCAGTGCTGGCAGATGCGGCAGAAGCCAGGAAAAGCATTCGTAACGCCCGCCTGTCCTTCGCCAACTACAAGACCAAGACGACTGCCCTCCAACGTCCTGATGGATCTATCACATCTTCCAGAAGGGTATTGGAAAAGATTATCCATGACTTCTACTCAAATCTCTTCAATAGCCATGTCCACCTGCCCACATCCCAAATTCCGCAGGATGGATATGTCATTCCCAACGTTCTCCCTTCTGAAATCCGACACGTCATTTTGTTGGTAAAGAAGTGAACAGCACCCAGCTCAGACAAGGTCAGACTCGAACACCTGAAGAACCTGCCATCTGTGTTCATCAATACACTGGCTTGGCTCTTCACACACTACCTGTCTGAATGCAAGGTTCTGTTCCAATGGAAAACCAGCAGGACTGTACTACTGTACAAGAAAGGAGACATCCACAACATTGGCAACTATCACCCGATCTGCCTGTTGTCTGTTGTCTACAAGCTGTTCACTCGAGTCATCCTGAACAGGATTGGCAGAACACTAGATGAAGGACAACCATGCAAGCAAGCCAAGTTCCACAAAGGATTCAGCACAATCTACCATATCCACATGGAGACCAAGCTCATTGAGGTTTCTCAGGAGTTGAAGATGCCATTCTGTCTAACATTCATTGATTTAAAGATGGACTTTGATTCTATTGAGACGGAAGCAGTCATCGAAGCCCTATATATACAGGGCATTCAAACTCAATACATTAGGATCCTCTGTGAGCTGTATTGCCGATTCACTACCAGGATCTCACCATTCTACAAGGAAGTGATCACCCATGTCAAGAGAGAGGTTCAGCAACGTGATACCATTTCACCGAAACTCTTCAGTGCCACCCTCGAGAACATCATGCGATGACTGAAATGGAAAGGAATGGGAGTGAAGCTAAACGGTCAGCAACTATACCACCTTCACTTTGCTGATGACATCGTTCTAAAAACACCAAACATTAGCCAAGTGGCACAAATGCTGGCAGTCTTTGACCGTGAGTGTGGAAAGGTCAGTCTACAGCTGAATCTCACAAAGACAATGTTTATGAGAAACGGTCTCATGCCTGATGTTCCATTCACTCTCAATGGAATGAACATCTCCGAATGCAACAATTATGTGTACCTAGGTCAAGAAGTCAACATGACAAATGACGGGGCATCTGAGTTGCACAGGAGGAAGAGAGCCTTGGAATGCCTTCAAGAGTGTCGAAGAAATAGCTAAGAGGACAAGTACCCTCAGACTCCGGGCACATCTCTTCGATTCCATTGTTCTTCCTGCATTAACATATGCCTCAGAGACCTGGGCCATACGAAAACAGGATGAGAACTCTATTCGGGTCTCCCAAGGAGGAATCAAAAGAGCCATGCTTGGAGTATCATGCTTCACTCAAGTAAGAGAAAGAATCCAGAGTTCCGACCTCCATTGATGATGGAGAATCAGGGATGCTGTCTCGTTTGCCAAGGCGTCAAAAATCAGATGGGCTGAACACTTAATGGGATTTGGGATTGACCACTGGACTAGAGCCATTACTGACTGGATTCCATGGGACGTTAAAAGATCGCGTGGCCACCCACCTATGAGATGGTCAGTCTTCTTTGTCAAGACCCTTAACGATCAGTTTGAGACTCTTCGTGTTTCCAGAATGAGCAGACGCCATTGGGTTATACCAGCATGCGACAGGGACAAATGGAAACGTTACTGGCACCTGCTCGAGCAAATCAATGAGTAATGGAATGTCAAGTAATCAAGTGATCAAAATGTCTTCTGACCTGAAGTTGTTTTACATGTTTTATTCCCATTTGTAAGCATATAATAACGAATTCTGTCTTACTGATGGCATGAATACATGAATACCATAAATACCTCCCCCTTTTGATTTTATTTCCTCACATACCCTTTTACAACCTGAAAACAAAGTGTGGTTCAAATTTTTCTTAGAATAGATAATTTATGCCTTTTATTCACTAATTTTCTTCCTAAATTTTTTTAATGTCAGATAATTGTCAACTTAAAAATATATCTTTTATATTTCTGTATCTTCTCTAAGTTTGCACTTAATGCATATAGTTGTTCATTTAAGATTTATACATCTGAAGGGGTTTATGTCATATTTATGATTAGCTATGTTGTGAAACATATTAATATGTATATGCTTACTAAATTAAAAATCTGTTAGTTCCTTAACATAAGTCTGTAAAATTTATTGTTCAAGTTATATTTTTGAAGGAGGATAACTGTCTTTAAACAACTTATGGGCTGGAGCAATAGCACAGTGGGTAAGGCGTTTGCCTTGCACTCAGCCAACCCAGGTTCATTTCCCAGCATCCCATATGGTCCCCTGAGCACCACCAGGGGTTATTCCTGACTGCAGAGCCAGGAATAACCCCTGTGCATCGCTGGGTGTGACCCCCCCAAAAAAAAACTTATGCCCTCAATTTAACCTAACATGTTCATTTATTTTTCCTTTTGTTGTATGTGTAGCCTCTGGTTTCAGTGTTCTACAGTAAGAATCTCTCATTTTCTATCCTCAGATAATAAAAACATTTATTCTATGGAAAAGAATATGATTGGAGAGCATCTCATTTCAATGTGTGTTATAGGCTTTATATTCCTTTTATTGCTATTCTTTTGGGAGACAACTTGGTGGAAAATAAGAGCATTTTTCAGTAAATATATTTACTTTGGTATTTATAAGATATTTAAAGAGGTGAGTAACTCATAGACCATAAGAATAACTCAAAATTGAACTTAGTCCCAAAGGTTTATGTCTATATACTACTGAGTGCATAACTCACAATGATACTACACTTCGGAGACACTATATCTGGCCTGTGGATTTTCACCTGCCACTTTGGCTTAAATGATCTCTTTGTTTGCTCGAGCGGGCCCAGTAACGTCTCCATTGGAGACTTTGTTGTTACTGTGTTTGGCATATCTCTTTGTTAAAATGCAAAGAATACAGTCTAGGGTGTATCCACACTTCACAGACAATGTGAAATAACTTTCCTTTCTCCTTCAGTTCCCACACTCAATGGTCAATACTTAAGCAAGTGGTACATAAGACACTCGATATTCATAGGTGCTTGAAATGACTCAAATCTTCTGTTTTGACATCACTAAGGTTATCCTCTAGTTCACTTTCAAAGACACTCATTCTAGACCAAATAACTAAATTCCATTCTCCTGTGTATTCTTGTCTTGAAAATATAGGAGAAAATATCCAAGGAATTATCTGGCGACTCTGATGATGAAGATGTACAGAATGAAAGGAAGAGAGTCCTGGCACTGACCCTGGAGTTGCTGGATTCAGCAATAGTTATGAAGGAACTCATAAAGGTAAGAGCATTCACAGCAAATATAAATCGACTTCATAAAGGAGTGTCATTGGTATTCAAGGCTCATTGTGGGTATGATTTTTTTCATCTCTAGGTATTTTTCCCAGTGTATTTTCTCAGTATTTCCAACGATTTTCAAGAGCACTCTGGAGGCAAGTCTTATAAGGGCTTAAGATGCTCATTATATTTTACCTATGTTGTATTTCTGTATATTTTAGATATATTTTAAGTGTCCAGTTGTTCTGGCTGTGAAAAATATTTCCTTTGAAGTCCAGAAAGGAGAGTGCTTTGGATTGCTGGGATACAGTGGAGCTGGAAAAAGTACTATATTCCAAATTTTGGCTGAAGAAGATTCTGCCACCTCTGGGGATGTATTCATTGATGGCTCTAACATCACTAGAAATTTCAGAAAGGTAAGAGGCTGCTTCAGTCTATTATAATAAGTGTGATGACATGGGGGGCAGATCATAGGAGAATAGATGGAGATATCAGGTAGGAATCATGGACTATTCCATTTCCCTTTCAGTAAAAGTCAAAAGGCAATAATTTTATTGTTCATAATTATGTTTGTAAATCTCTCTAATTAACCCTCATTTTTCCATTGTCATTTAATTTCCATCATGCTTTTGAGAAGTATGATATGCCTCTGTATAAAATAGAGGAAACCACTTTTTATATTTTTGAATTTTTTTAAACTTTAATATAAATTACTTGGTATCACTTATTTAAATTATTATCTTTGGAATTTGTTGACATTCTTAAATTTATTAATTTTTTGAGGGTCGGGGGCACACCTGGCAATACTTAGGGGTTACTCCTGGCTCTGCACTCAGTAATTACACCTGGCGGTGCACAAGGGACCATATGGGATGCTGGGGATCAAACCTGGGTCAGCCATGTACAAGGCAAATGTCCTCCCGCTGTACTATCTCTCCGGACCCAAATTTATTAACTTCTCTCTTTAATGGGTTTATAACCATTATCACTTATTACTTCAAATAATTCTCCTGTTCTTTTCTTCCCTTCTGCAATTATCAACATGTTAAATTTCAACTTTGTTGTTCTTTTTGTTTTGCTTTGTTTTCTTTGGGGCAGGCAAGTTTTTCTCTTGGCTCTGTGCTGGGGGTCATTCATACTGGTGCTCAGGGCACAGGCATTGTTCAGGACTGAACCCAAGCCTCTTGCATGTAAAGCACGTACTCCAGTTTTTATTGAACTATCTCTCCTGACCAGTATGTCATTCTTATCTCTCAACTCACTTTTGTAGTATTCCACCTGTGTTTTGTGAGATTTTACAGTGTAATGTATGTTACATTCTAGTAGTTTCTTACAAACTTCTTCAGGTCGATTTCTTTTTTTATTTTTATTAGTGAGACATCATGAAGTACAGTTGTAGACTTACAAATTTTTGTGCTTGGGTTTCCATTATACAATGCAAATATTCAGGTCGATTTCTTACTTTGTGACTAAATGACTGCTAAATGTATTTGTAGAATTTACAGCATAACTTATTTTGGTTTTACGGATTTAACAAATGATCAATTTTTTAAAATGTTTGTGATTGTATGCTCTACTTTCATGGAACTTTTTGAATTTTAAAAACTTGTCTAAATTTAGTAAAAATATGAAATCTATTTCATCATATTCCATAATAATCACAAGCAATTGTACATGTGTTTATTGTCTTTTTTATTATTCATTGGGTTATCTTTGTACATACTTTATGTTCAAAATTATATAGGAAAACAATTTTATGCCTAAAAATAAAAAGTTTGATAGATTTCTGTCAAGAGTCTAGGAGAATAAATAGTTGGGGATCACTGTCATCTAATTTATAAAATCCAGAACCAAATATTAATTTAAATCACAATCACAATCATCCTGTTGTTCATTGATTGCCTCGAGCAGGCACCAATAAAGTCTCCTTCTTCCTAGCCCTGAGATTTTAAAAGAGCCATATTCAATGCTCTTTCAGGCCTAGGGGAATGAGACCTATCATTGTTACTGGTATTTGGCATATTGAGTATGACACGGAAAGTTTGCCAGACTCTCCCATGTGGGCAGGATACTTTCGGTTGCCTGCCAGGTTCTCCAAAGTAAAAACGAGATAATAAGATGTCGCATAGCCGCAAATGTGGACACGTGCTTCTGGAAGCTGGGTTTTAAAGTCTCTGGGTCTTGGCCGTTGATGGGACCACCTGGAACGGGCAGCAGCTGGTGGGTGCCTACCTACTGGAAGATGGGGGATCTGGGTGGAGAAGGCCCAGTCCCAATCTGAGCAGGTTTGGAGATCTCAGCCCCGCGACCCACATGCCTGGGTTCCTCTGCTGGTTCCTTCATGTATGAGGCTTGTCCGGATGTGTGGACAGTGGTCTTATCATGGCTGTAGCTGGTTCTGGAGGTCTTCGGCTGCCGGGGCTCTGCTCAGGGCAGGGAGGGAAACTCAACCCTCCCTCCAAGGGGCCCCAGTGAGAACAGGCAGGCACGGGGGCAGGAGACTCTGTGTTCTCTTCCGGGAGCTGGATTTTATAGTCTCTGGGTCTTGGCCCTTGATGGGACCACCTGGCGCTGGCGAATAGTTAATTCAAATGCTTATAATAATTTTAGTTACTCTTAATTTTATTGATTTTTAACTATACACTTACTCTGTGGACTGGAGCGATAGCACAGCAGGTAGGGCATTTGCCTTACATGCAGCCAACCCGGGTTTGATTCCTCCGTCCCTCTTGGAGAGCCCGGCAAGCTACCGAGAGTATCCTGCCCACACGGCAGAACCTGGCAAGCTCTCCGTGGCATATTTGCCCCCGCGCCTGGGTGTTCCTTCCCGGAGTCCCTTGGAGGGGAGCGGGTTGAGCTTTCCTCCCCGCCCCGACCAGGGCTACGGCAGCCGAAGACCTCCAGGACCAGCCACCACCATGCTGAGACCACTCTCCGCACACATGAAGGTACTGGCAGAGGGACAAAGCCACGCGGGTTCCGGGGCCGAGACCTCCAAGCCTACTCGAATTGGAGTCGAGCATCTTCCACCCAGATCCTCCAAATTCCAGTAGGCGGGGGTCACACCCACCACCTGGCCCCCTGGCGCCGTGTAATCCCATCAGCGGCCAAGACTCAGAGACTATAAAATCCAGATCCCGGAACCGCGCGGCCGCATTTGCAGCCGCGCGACATCTTAACACAACTTTTTTTTTATGACATCTTATTGTCTTATTTCTACTTTGGACAAACTTGCAGGCTATCGAATGTAGCCTGCCCACAGGGCAGAGTCTGGCAAACTCCCCGTGGCGTACCAAATATGCCAAATACCAGTAACATTGATGGGTCTCACTCTCCTAAACAGCCTTGAATATAATCTCAGGGCTAGGATGAAAGAGACGTTACTGGGGCCTGCTCGAGGCAATCGACGAATAACAGGATGATGAAATGAATGAAATGAAACACAATGGAGACGTTACTGGTGCCCTCTTGAGCAAATCGATGAACAACGGGAGGACAGTACTACAAGTGCAGTGCTACACTTTCTCTAGCTATAGTAAGCTGAATAAAAATATCAAAAAAAGATTTGATACTAAACAACAGTGGTTGCAGTATTCCAGCTGTAGGAATGAGAAATAGTTTTACTTTTTGTACAATCTCACCTTGAATCAAAATATACATACAACTCTGCAGGCTGTGGAATATAAAGTCTTCTATGGTGACCATGTCTTTTAGGGTTTCTCATAAAGGAAGCTTCTGTTTGCTAATATCCCTCCAGTTTCATGGGGTCTAGCATTTTATTAATAGTATATTCTTTCCCAAAATAGTTAAAATTAAATATTTAATAGCACAGTGGGTAGGGCGTTTGCCTTGCACGCAGCCAACATGGCTGACCCGAGTTCGATTCCTCCGCCCCTCTCGGAGAGCCCGGCAAGCTACCGAGAGTATCTCGCCCGCACAGCAGAGCCTGGCAAGCTCCCCATGACGTATTCGATATGCCAGACACAGTAACAACAAAGTCTCCAATAGAGACGTTACTGGGCCCGCTCGAGCAAATCGATGATCAACGGGAGGGCCTTTTTACTTTATTGTGTTAGAAACAATTTATTGTGTAGATTAACATAATTTTATAGATCAATGACTTTAGAAAAAATATTCTTGGAAGATGTTTTAGAAGCAATACTGCAGTCCTTCAGGTCTTCTATAGTCTCCATGAATTTTCAGAAGAATAGATGACATAGGTCTTTATTAAGGCGATTTTTATATCTAGGTGACTTCAAAAGTTAGCTATTGCCCTCAATCTGATGCCTTGCTGGAGTATATGACTGCTCGGGAAACATTGATTATGTATGCAAGATTGTGGGGAATATCTGAGAACCAGATTAATCCATATGTGAATGAGCGTTTGAAGTCCCTACAACTGGCAGCCCATGCTGACAAGATTATAAGAACCTACAGGTGAATCATTTATGTTGATATTTTTGCTGATGTTGAAAACCCTGAGAGGGCCTCACAGTACTTTTTAGCTAAGTACGAGTTCTTAATGCATTGCCAAGATTTAGATGTTATTGATAAGGACACCCAGTTCTATGTATTGCCTTTGCAGACACGAATCTCTCTAAATTCTGAATCAATTTGAACAATAGCTCTCAAATTCAACAAGAGACATCTTTTACTTACTATTGTCTATACAATTGTCTCCCAGAAAGGAAGTTCAAGTTACTATTGTCTCTATGTACCTAGAAAATTATATCACTATAAAAAAAATCAATAAATACTAGTGACAATCAATTATACAAGAGTCACTCTTCTAGGGGCAGAGAGATAGCACAGGGGGTAAGGTGCTCACCTCTAATGCAGCCAACCCCAGTTAAATCCCCAGCACTGCATATGATCCCCTGAGCACCCCCAGTAGTAATCCCTGAGCACAGAGCCAAGAGTAAGTCCTGAGTACTATAGAGTGTGACCCATCCACCCAAACACTCTTTTACATTCCAAAGAAAATGAATTAATATGCATTAGATTTTTTTAATTCATGTAAAAATCAGTATTGAGGGTATACATGTAAAGCGTTTGATAGACTTGCATTTGAATATTTATGCTAAAACTTTTCTGTGAGTACTGATTCACATACCTTCCTCTCCTTCTATTCTCTCCTATGCGATGAAGTGGAGGAAACAAACGTAGGCTGAGTACTGCTGTTGCCATGACCGGAAACCCCTTGATCATTTTGATGGATGAGCCATCCACGGGTGTAGACCCATTAGCCCGAAAACTCATCTGTAATGTTGTGACAGAGGCACGTAAAAATGACAAAGCCATAGTGATCTCTTCCCACAGGTGAGTTTCCTTGGGAGACTTGCTTCAGAGTTCGCACCATTGTCCTGACTGTAGAAGAGAGTTTCTTAAGGATAAGAATATTGATGCTCCAGTTGCGCAATCGGTTAGCGCGCGGTACTTATAAGAATATTGCGCATGAATTAGTATTTAGTATGTGTCTTCCTTACTATCTTAGCGAACAGAGTAGTCAGAACTCTCAATGAGCCAAATAACTAAGTGTGGGTTCAGAACAGGAAGTTGACAAATTTTCTGTTTGAAGATTTGGTTACTCTTCTATTTATCATTGTGCAAAATTTCTTTCATTTGAAATCATTGAAATTCTGTTGTTTGAACTACATAATTTCTAGCAAAGGAGAACTTAGGTTTTTTTCATCCTGGTATTTTGCTTTGCTAGTATGGAGGAATGTGATTCTATCTGTACCAAATTAGCCATCATGGTAGAGGGGAAGATTGTGTGTTTGGGAAGTCCTCAGAACCTCAAGAACAAGTTTGGCAACGTTTACAACCTGAAGGTGAAAGTCAAGAGTGATATAAGTGAGGCTAAGTTGGAAGAATTTAAAAGATTCATCTTGGTGATATTTCCAGGTAAATTTAAGTTAACTTTACTAGAAAACTATTAACCCCTGTTTTATTGTTCTTTTATACATTAGTTATACATCTTCAATTATTCTTTATACATTTTATCGATATTCAGCACTAAATTACTTTTGGAAATGCCCAGTTTTACAACCTCTTGTGCCTTCATATATAATTTTCTCACAGAAAGTTTATCATTTTAAACAAAGCTTCTCATAAATTTCTTGCATTACTTTATGAGGCAGTTTTGGGTTTGTGTCCAAGAGTATCTCGCCCACACAGAAAAGCCTGGCAAGCTACCCGTGATGTATTCAATATGCCAAACACAGTAACAAGTGTCACAATGGAGACGTTACCGGCCTGCTCGAGCAAATAGATGAACAACGGGAAGACAGTGACAGTAACAATTCTCCACATAAATGATACTTCAAAAGGAGCATTTTTTACACAATTCTGAATTATTTTTACATATTATTTATAGAACATTTTTCATATTTACCTTCCAATAGGCATGTAATCTTGGTGAACTTTCTTAGTCAAGATGTTATTGGTATGCGCATAATAACCATTGATATTTCCCATCCTTAGAGTAGATCTGTTTCTACAGGATAAATTCTAAACATTTCTATATAAGAACAGGTAGTGGCTATTTTTTTCCTTGCTTTTTAAAAATAAAGGCACTCATTACCTCTAGTTCTATTAGAAATATTAATTTCTAGAAAAAGTCACTCAGAATCAGAAAAATTTGTAAAAATCACAAAATGGGAGAAAGAGAGTAATAATGAGGGCTTTCAGAAAGAACTTAGACTTCAATGCTTAAATTCAAATGGATAAATAGACTTAGAGCTTCAGATTAAATAAAATGGTAAAGCATAAATATTTCTGGAAACAAGAAGAAACCATCAAAAGCAGATTACTACATAAAAGGCAGCCTCGAAATTCGTGTTGAGATTTACAAGGAAAAATCAAAGAAACAAAGTGAAATAGAAAACCAACAGAAATCCTCATAGTGAGATGGCAACAATTTTTTTCATGTTAATAGTTTATCTAAAAGTCTATGGGCTGAACTCCCCAGTAAAAAGGTATATAATGAGGAATCACAGAGATAGTACAGTGAGAAGGAGGTTTGCTTTGCAAGTGACCTTAATCACTTCACTTAACTTCCCGTTAGTCGTCGATTTGCTCGAGCAGGCGCCAGTAACGTCTCCATTTGTCCCTGTAATGTGCTAGTGTAGCCCAATGGCATCTGTTAGCTCCGGGAACATGAAGGGCCTCAAACCGATCGTTCATGATCTTGACGAAGAAGTCTGACCATCTGGAAGGTGGGCGGCCACGCGTTCTTTTGACATCCCGTGGAATCCAGTCGGTAACAACTCTAGTCCAGCCCATCTGATTTTCGACACCTTGGCAAATGAGACAGCGTCCCTGATTCTTGATCATCGACGGATGTCAGAACTCCGGATTCTTTCTCTCATTTGAGTGAAACGTGATATTCCAAGCATAGCTCTTTCTATTCTTCTTTGGGAGACCTGAATAGCGTTCGCATCTTGTTTGCGTAGGGCCCAGGTCTCTGAGGCATATGTTAATGCAGGAAGAACAGCGGAATCAAAGAGATGTGCCCAGAGCCGGAGGTTCTTCGTCCTCTTAGCTATTTCTTCGACGTTCTTGAAGGCGTTCCAAGCCACTCTCTTCCTCCTGCGCAGCTCGGGTGCCAGGTCATTTGTCATGTTGACTTCTCGACCTAAGTACGCATAGCTGTTGCATTCGGAGATGGTCGTTCCGTTGAGAGCGAATGGGGCATCAGGAACGAGGCTGTTTCTCATAAACATTGTCTTCGTAAGATTCAGCTGTAGTCCTACCTTTCCACACTCACGGTCAAAGTCGGCCAGCATTTGTGCGGCTTGGCTGATGTTTGGTGTTATTAAAACAATGTCATCAGCAAAGCAGAGGTGGTGTAGTTGCCAACCATCTATCTTCACTCCCATTCCTTCCCATTCCAGTCGTCGCATGATGTTCTCGAGGGTGGCACTGAAGAGTTTCGGTGAAATGGTATCACCCTGCTGCACCCCTCTCTTGACATCAACGATCACTTCTTTGTAGAATGGTGAGATCCTGGTAGTGAATCCGCAATACAGCTCACGGAGGATCCTGATGTATTGGGCTTGAATGCCCTGATTGGCTAGGGCTTCAATGACTGCTTCCGTCTCAACAGAATCAAAGGCCTTCATTAAATCAATGAACGTTAAACAGAGCGGCATCTTGAACTCCCAAGAAACCTCAATGAGCTTGGTTATTGTGTGAATATGGTCGATGGTGCTGAATCGCTTGCGGAACCCTGCTTGCTCGCATGGCTGTCCTTCATCTAGTGTTCTGCCAATCCTATTTAGGATGACTTGAGTGAACAACTTGTAGATGACAGACAATAGGCAGATCGTCGATAGTTGCCAATGTCATGGATGTCTCCCTTCTTGAATGGTCCTGCTGGTTTTCCATTGGGACAGAACCTTGCATTCAGACAGGTAGCGAGTGAAGAGCCGAGCCAGTGTATTGATGAGTACTGACGGCAGGTTCTTCAGGTGTTCAGGTCTGACCTTGTCTGGGCCGGGTGCTGTTTGTTTCTTTACCGACGAAATGGCGTGTAGGATTTCGGAAGGGAGAACGTTGGGAACGACATATCCATCCTGTGGAATTTGGTATGTCGGCAAATGGACATGGCTATTGAAGAGATTTGAGTAGAAGTCATGGATAATCTTCTCCATTGCCGTTCTGGAGGATGTGATGGATCCATCAGGACGTCGGAGGGCAGTCATCTTGGTCTTGTAGTTGGCGAAGGACAGGCGGGCATTACGAATACTTTTCCCGGCTTCTGCCACATCTACCAGTACTTCTGCTCTTCTCTCTTTGAGGTCTTCCTTGATTGCATCTCTGCACTGCTTTGCGAGCTCGAACGTTAGCTTGCGGTTGCCTGTGGCATGCGCCAAACCACGCTGGCGAATTAGCTCAAGAGTTTTCGAAGACAGGCGTTTTTTTGTGTCTATCTCTCTCTTGGCGTTCTCGCACATTCATGGAGGTGCTGAACCAGTCGATCATATTCCTCGTCAATGTTGTCAACAATGGCATCTTCCCATGTTGCCACAATAGTGCCAAAGAGTTCCCAGTTGGTGGTCGTTCTGGGAGTTCTCTTTTTGAACTTTGCAGCCCTTTCTCCCCGCTCTGTGAAGTAGAATTTTGCATGAAGGAGACGGTGGTCCGATCCCGTTCGAAATTTTGGGACAACAGCGACATCAGTCAGGCAAAACCGTCAATTGAATATGATGTGGTCTATTTCGTTGTGGAATCGTCCACCGGGAGACTCCCATGTCCATCGTTTAGATTCTGCCTTCTGGAACTGTGAGTTACCATGGATGGTCTTGGTCGACATGATGAACTCAGACAGTCTCTCACCCTGTTCGTTCCATTCTAGGCCATGGGTCCCGATGTGAAGTTCTTCAGCTGATCTTCTCGGTCCTATCTTGGCATTAAAATCACCCACAATGATCTTGTAGAAGGTGTGGTCTTCTTTATAGAACTTCTCTAGCTCCATGTAGAACTTCTCGATTTCTCTTTCATCATAATGAGATGTTGGTGCGTAGACAACGAAGATAGAAACTGCAGGCAGTGAGCCACATCTATTCAAATGTAAACGACACTACTCCACTACCCAGCCGTCGCCACACTCCAGGACGCTTTCCGGACACATCATAAGATACTAAATACCCATCTTCTGGAATTGTCGTACCATATTTGATAGGGTTCAAATATGATAACACCTACAAGGGTGATTAGAGGTCGCCCCAAAAGCCTCTATCCCTCTCGGAAAGACTGGCAAGCTACCGAGAGTATTCCGCCTGCACAGAAGAGCCTGGCAAGCTATCCGCTGTGTATTCGATATGCCAAAACCAGTAACTACAACTGGTCTCATTCACCTGACCCTGAAGGCTTCACCGACATGGCAGCACTGAGAAGGATGAGAAAGGAGAGGCCGACAAAATCTCAAGGCCGACGTAGGCCGCCACAACAAAGGAAGACAAAAATGATCGTGTGTACTTTCAATGCACATACGCTAGCATCAGATGCATCCATCGAGGACCTGATGGTACAAGCTCAAATGATCAAGTACGACATCATGGTCTGACCGAGACAAGAATGCACGAATCTCACCATGCCGTTTTCGACACTGGAGAAGAATTGTTCCTCGGAACATGCGATAAAAGAGGTGTTGGAGGCATCGGTGTCCTTATCAACACAAACTTGCAAGTGACCAATCCTGGTATAATCTCTGGCACTCCATATGGTACCCTGAGCATGGGTCCTGTGCCAAAAATAAAAAATTTAAAAGCAAAGAAAAGAATACCATGTTGTTTACAGATTCTGACTGCTGTGACTAGTGCTGCAATGAACATAGAAGTGCAGATGGCATTTCTGCTGTGTTTTTATTTAACTTTTTAATTAAAGTGACTAAATTATAACTATATAGGTATGATTGTTAATCAGCTTTCCTATATACTCCATTAATTTCACCATTAAAAGCTCAATTCTGGACTTTATCCTATAGTTGACCCCTTTTACATAAATATCCTTTCCTTTTTTTTTTTTTTGGAGAAGGACAGAAGTTTATTTTATCATGATGGGTCCAAGGATCATGATGGGTCATGGGACTTTTACCCATTTGACAAATGATTAAAAAACTGAAATTGCATTTATACTCTAAAGCTATATTCCAAAGTGTCAATTCAGCCATGCATGATTACTGTTTTATTTATTTATTTATTTATTTTTTATTAGTGAAACACCATGAGGTACAGTTGTAGACTTACAAGTTGTTGTGCTTGGGTTTCAGTTATACAATGATCAAGTACCCATCCCACCACCAGTGCCCATTCTCCACCCCCACCAATCCCAGTATCCCTCCCACCCCTCCCATCCCCCATCCCACCCCGCCTCTGTGGCAGGGCACTCCCTTTTGTTCTATCTCTCCTTTTGGGTGTTGTGGTCTGCAGAAGAGACAGTGGGTGGAAATCATGTTCTGTCTATAGACTACTTTCAGCATACATCTCCCATCCTGGGCAGATCTTCCCAGCACCCTTTATTTGGTGCTCCCTTCTCTATATGAGCTGCCTTTGCCCCTACAGTGTGCAGCTGGCTTCTAAGCCAGCCATGCCCTTTCCTTTTGATAACTACTATTTTAATCTTATAGCCTAATATATTATTTTCATTTATTAAGTTAGTTCATTGATTTCATTTCTTTGTGTACCACATAATCTGTGAAATAACTCACCTATTCTATTTTTCCTTTTATAGGTAGTGAATTAGATCAGGAAAATCAAGGGATACTTAATTACCACATTCCCAGAAAGGACAATAACTGGGGAAAGGTGACTATAGAAATCATGCCCTTTAATCACTGCATGGGACAAAAACACAACACTAGTATGGGAGTATAATTTAATGGTATTTTGTATTTTTAATTTAATAATTATAATAATCATGCTGTAAAGTAGGATTTTGGAATTGTAGGAGCAATAACTACTCTATAGTTCATAGATTTATATTCCTCAAATCCCATCATTAGTTTATGGTCTATCAAGATATTAGAACAGAAACCTGCTCTCTCAGTTTCTCACTTACCTGTTTGTTCTAATTTTTCTTCTCCTTTCTACCTTTTGTTCTCCAACAGTAACTTGGAAAGAGGAGAAGGTGGGTGAAATTGCAAAAGTAACTGAAATTTTTTTTGTTATTGTTAAAGGTTTTTGGTATTTTGGAGAAAGCTAAACAACAATATGATTTAGAAGACTATTGTATTGGTCAAATGACTTTGGAACAGATTTTCCTCACCTTTTCTATGTCAAAGAATGTCCCAGATGTTCCAGATTATATGAAGAAAAGGGAGTTGGGTAAAGTTAGTTTAAATAAGATGAATACAGTTAGTTTGGAAGAGAAGGATAAAAGTCGCATCAGTGAGATTGAGTGACACTTTTATGTCCTTCCTGAACTACTTTCTACTACACCTGAATACAGATAGAGAGGAGCCTTCATATGTATGTTTTATATGTATTGTACATGTATATAATAAAGGATTTCCCCCATCCACCATGCACAAATACAGGGAAAAAATTGGTGAATTCTTGTTTGCGCTCCTAGAAGAAGCAACAAAAGGCAACACAAGAGCAGTGTTAAGCAAGCTAATGAAAAACATCTATTCCTATTTTTCTGAATGTTTGAAGAGAAATATCCAGAAAATGATGGTGTTCTCAGATGGGACTAGTTGATGGGCGAGATATTTCTGCTTTAAGGGAAAATATTAGGGGCTGGAGTGATAGTATAGCGAGCAGGGCATTTGTATTGCAGATGGCCTACAGGGGTTCGATCCACAACATCTCAAATGGTCCTCTGAGCACTCCCAGGAGTGATTCCTGAGTGCAGAGCCAGGAGTAACCCCTGAGCATTGCTGGGTATGACCCAAAAAGCAAAAAAGAAGAGAGAGAGAAATATTAATAAAAACCTTAAATTTGCAACAAGCCATTCACCCATGGACATGCATACACATAATTTTATACCAATAGGAAAATAAATAGGACCAGGGAGATGTACAATATTTAGACCTGACATTGATTTCTAGTCTACTGAGCATTTCTGGGTAAAGTTCCCCCGACACTGCTAGGTGTGACCCCGGGTCCCCAGACACCACCAGGTTATATCTGGTGGCCCCAGGCATACAGAGCTAGCATGATGCTGGCCTGATTGGCCAAATATTGTCCAGAGTGTCCCCACAGTCCCCTGGGTACCAGTAGAGACAATCGTCATTTAAAGAAGACAACTAAAATCAATATTAAAATTAGGTCTTAATGGGTTATTTCCTAAACCCAAAGATTCCACATTTTAAAGAGAATCTGTAAGTCAAAACATTTGGATTCCAAGCACATAAAGGGGAAAAATATACATCAAAATATGTCAAAATATACATCAAAAATATGGGGGATATAAATACCTGTTACAAGTAAGGAAGACAGATTTTCGTCTGACAATATACAGCCTGTGATTCTTTTTTTAAAAATATTATTCGTTTTATTTATTAGCATAAAATGGCTCAACAATAAAATTATGGGCCCTAAGAGCCAGTAATTTCTTTTCTTTTATTTTTTTATTTTTAATTTTTATTAGTGAAAAATCATGAGGTACAGTTGTGTAGACTTACAAGTTTTTGTGCTTTGGTTTCAGTTAAAAATGATCGAGAACCTGTCCCTCCACCGGTGCCTTTCCCGCCACCAATGATCCCAGTCTCCCTCCCACACCTCCTCGCCCCCCCCATCCCATCCCTTCTCTGTGGCGGGGCATTCCCTTTTGTTCTCTCTTTCCTTTTGGGTTGGAGCGATAGCACAGCGGTAGGGCGTTTGCCTTGCACGCAGCCAACATGGCCGACCCGAGTTCGATTCCTCTGCCCCTCTTGGAGAGCCCAGCAAGCTACCGAGAGTATCTCGCCCACAGGGCAGAGCCTGGCAAGCCACCCGTGATGTATTCGATATGCCAAACACAGTAACAACAAAGTCTCCAATGGAGACGTTACTGGGCCCGCTCGAGCAAATCGATGAACAACGGGAGGGCCTTTACCTTTACCTTTACCTCCTTTTGGGTGCTGAGGTTTGCAAAGGAGGCATTGAGTGGCAATCATGTTCGGTCTATAGTCTACTTTCAGCATGCATCTCCCATCCTGGGAGGATCCTCCCAGCACTCTCTACTTGGTGTTCCATTCTGAGCTGCCTTTTTCCCTAGCATGTGCGGCTGGCTTTCAAGCCATGGAGTGAAACTCCTGGTACTTATCCCAACTATTCTTGGATGTTAGTTTCCTATTTTGTTACTTTATATTCCACAGATGAATGCAATCTTTCTATATCTGTCCGTCTCTTTCTGACTCAATTCACATAGCATGATACTTTCCATGTAGTACCACTTGTATGTAAATTTTATGACTTCATCTTTTTCTAACAGCTGCATAGTACTCCACTGTGTAGATGTACCAAAGATTCTTTAACCAGTCATCTATTCTTGGGCACTCGGGTTTTTCCAGATATTGGCTATTGTGAACAGTGCAGCAATAAACAGAGAAGTGCAGATGTCATTTCAACTATACTTTTTTGACTCTCCGGGATATATTCCCAGGAGTGGTAATGCTGGGTCAAATGGGAGCTCAATTTCTAATTTTTTGAGAATCATCCATACTGTTTTTCAAAAGGGCTGAACTGGTCGGCATTCCCACCAGCAGTGAAGGAGGATCCCTTTCTCACCACATCCGTGCCAACACCCTTTGCTTTTGTTCTTTTGGATGTGGGCCAGTCTCTGTGGTGTGAGATGATATCTCATTGTTGTTTTGATCTGCATTTCCCTGATGATTGGTGATGTAGAGCATTTTCTCGTGTGCCTTTTATCACATATCTTCTTTGATAAAGTTTCTGTTCATTTCATCACCCCATTTTTTGATGGGGTTGGATGTTTTCTTCTTGTGGAGTTCAACCAGTGTTTTGTATATTCTTGATATCAACCGCTTATTGGATAGGTATTGGGTGAATATCCTTTCCCATTCTATAGATTGTCTGTATTCTGGTCACTGTATCTTTTGAGGTGCAGAAACTTCTTAGTTTAAGATAGTGCCATTTGTTTATCTCTGTTTCCATTTGTTTGGTCAGTGGAGTGTCGTCTTTGAAGATACCGTTCACCTCAATATCGTGGAGGTTTTTGCCAACCTTGTCTTCAATGTACCTTATGGACTTTGGCCTGATGTTGAGATCTTTAACCCATTTTTATCTGACATTTGTGCATAGTGTTAGGTCGAGGTCTAAGCCCAGTTTTTTTCATGTGGTTGTCCAGTAATGCCAGCACCATTTGTTGAAGTGGCTTTGCTTTCGCCACTTCATATTTTTGCTCCCTTATCAAATATTAGATGTTCATACATTTGTGGTTGTGTTTACAGATATTCCTCCTGTTCCATTGGTCTGTGGCCCTGTCTTTGTTTCAGTACCATGCTGTTTTAATTATTACCGCTTTGTAGTAGAGTTTGAGGTTGGGGAGAGTAATGCCTCCCCACGTCTTTTTCCCAAGAATTGCTTTAGCTATTCGAGGGCGTTTGATGTTCCATACGAATTTCAGGAGTGCTTGATCTATTTCTTTGAAGAATTTCATGGGTATCCTTATAGGGATCGCATTGAATCTGTATAATACTTTAGGGAGTATTGCCATTTTGACAATGTTAATTCTCCCTATCCATGAGCAGGGGATATGCTTCCATTTCCTCATGTCCTCTTTTATTTACTGGAGTAGCATTTTGTAGTTTTCATTGTAGAGGTCCTTCACCTCTTTAGTTAGGCTCATTCCAAGGTATTCGATTTTCTGGGGCATGACAGTGAACAGGATTTTTTTTCATGTCACTTTCCTCTGTTTCACTATTTGCATATAGGAAGACCATGGAATTTTGGGCGTGAATTTTATAGCCTGCGACTTTACTGTACAAGTCTATTATTTCTAGGAGTCTCTTGATAGAGGATTTAAGATTCTCAAGATATAGTATCATATCATGGCAAATAGTGAGAGCTTGATTTCTTCCTTTCCTATGTAGATTCCTTTAATGTATTTTTCTTGCCTAATCGCTATTGTGAGTACTTCCAGTACTATATTGAACAGAAGTGTGATAGTGGGCATCCTTGGCTTGTCCCTGATCTTAGAGGGAAGGTCCTTAGTTTTTTCCCATTGAGAATAATGCTTGTCATGGGTTTGTTAGATGGCTTTGACTATCTTGAGGAAAGTACCTTCGAAACCCATTTTGGTGAAAGTTTTCATCATAAACGGGTGCTGAATCTTGTCAAAAGTTTTCTCTGTGTCTAGTGATATGATCATGTTTTTTTTTTGTTTGTAGGAGTACTGCTATTTATTCAGCCACTGATTAGCTGATTGAACTGCGCATTAACTCCACCTTACTTTTTTTTCATAATTTTATTTATTTATTTTTTCTTCTTTTTATATTTATTTATTTATTGAATCACTGTGGGAAAAGTTACAAAGCTTTCAGGTTGAAGTCTCGGTCATATGATGATCAAACACCTTTCCCTTCACCAGTACTCACTTTTCACCACCAAGAAACCCAATATACCCCCCTCCCAACCCTCCCAATGCCTGTGAGGCAGATGATTTCTACTTAACTCTTTTCTACTTTGATTACATTCATTATTTCGACAAAAAATGCACCACTAGTGTTTATAATTTCCCCCCAACAATCAGAATTGCTGAAAAGGCACTGTGAAATACTTGGTTTTCCCCATCCAAAAATGGGGCAATGAAATGAACAGAAACTTTCTCAAAGAAGAAATCCGAATGGCAAAAAAGCACATGAGAAAATGCTCTACATCATTAATCATCAGGGAGATGCAGATCAAAACCACAATGAGATACCATCTCACACCTCAGAGACTGGCCCACATTCAAAAGAACAAAAGCAACCGATGCTGGCGTGGATGTGGCGAGAAAGGGACACTCCTTCACTGTTGGTGGGAATGTCCACTGGTTCAGCCCTTCTGGAAAACAGTATGGACGATTCTCAAAAAATTAGAAATTGAGCTCCCATTTGACCCAGCAATACCACTCCTGGGAATATATCCCAGAGAGGCAAAAATGTATAGTCGAAGTGACATCTGCACTTGTTTGTTCATTGCAGCACTCTTTACAATAGCCAGAAACTGGAAGAAACCTGAATGCCCAAGAACAGATGACTGGTTAAAGAAACTTTGGTACATCTACACAATGGAGTACTATGTAGCTGTTAGAAAAGATGAAGTCATGAAATTTACATACAAGTGGTACAATATGGAAAGTATCATGCTAAGCGAAATGAGTCAGAAAGAGAGGGATAGACATAGAAAGATTGCATTCATCTGGGGGATATAAAGTAACAAAGTATGAGATTAATACCCAAGAATAGCTGAGATC